ACTCTTTCAATAGTCAGGTGATTCAAGTCATTGCTATTGTATTCAAAATTAGCCTTTACCGTTACGAAAATGAGGTTACGATGCTTTAAAAAGAACCTGCTCGTTCTCATGGGTGTTTCTTTAATTATTGCCACTGCCATGATCATAACACGTGTATTAATTTCTGATGAAGTCACGGGTGTTGTCGCTCAGGAAAACATGTTGTCTGATGACATGGCAAAGTTTCAGTATGGTTCGGTTCCTGAATTGATGAAGGCGATTTACAATGCCAATTACAAGCAACACGTTCTGAATGCGGACAAGTATCCTGGGGAGCCTAAACTGGTCCTGGTTATTCAGGTTCACAACAGACCAGACCACCTCAAAATACTAATCAAGTCATTGGAAAATGCAGCTGAGGTCCACAACTTTTTGCTGATTTTCAGCCACAACTATTTTTCAGAGGAAGACAATGACATAGTGCAAGGGATAACTTTCTGCAAGGTTTTACAAATATACTTCCCCTACAGCACACAGCTCTATCCCAGTGAGTTTCCTGGGCAGGATCCACGGGACTGTCCACGAGACATATCCAAGGATGATGCTTTAAAAACAGGATGCCTCAACGCTGAGCATCCAGATTCATATGGCCACTATAGGGAAGCATCCATCACACAGACCAAACACCACTGGTGGTGGAAACTTCACTTTTTGTGGGAGCGAGTGCAGGCTCTGCATGGTTACAGTGGCTTTGCAGTTTTCCTCGAGGAGGACAACTATATCTTGCCTGACCTCTACCACCTTTACAAGGAGATGGTTGAATACAGGAAGAGAAGCTGCCCTGACTGCGACATGCTGGCGCTAGGCAACCACAATGGCCTGGCAGAGTTTGATAAGCTCAGCAACAAGGTGCAGACTGCCCGGTGGATGTCTACCAAGCACAACATTGGCATGGGCATTTCCAGAGAGGTGTACTACAAGCTGATGGGTTGCAATTATGACTTCTGCACCTATGATGACTACAACTGGGACTGGACCCTCCATCACCTGTCAGGAACTTGCATCTCCAAGCCACTCAAAGTGCTGGTGGCCCAGGGATCCAGGGTTCTGCATACTGGGAACTGTGAGCTGCACCAGAACAAGGAGGCCTGTCGGCCCGAGCTGGCCCTACAGAAAGCACAGGAGTCCCTTAAGCTCACCAAAGACTCCCTCTTCCCTCAGTCCCTGGTCCTAACAAACGCAGAGTCAATGGAGCACAAGGCTCACATGAAAAACGGCGGGTGGGGTGATATCCGTGACCATGTCCTTTGTAATAACTATGCTACACGTCTATGAACTAAGGGCTTCTCACTCTCATATTTTTGATGTACTGAGGATTGAGGAAATAAGTGCCATTCATACTTTCAGGGTTCCAAAGACCGCAGTGTGTCTTCCAAGGGTTAGCGAAAATGTGATTTGGAATGTTTTGGTGTATGCAGCAGCGTGATTTATAGCTTGGTTGTTATTACTGTTATTACCAAAAGTAACATGATTGCGAAATATATATATATACGGTGGGATTTGATACACTGCCGATTTTGCAGGTTTTCCTACTTACAAAGCATGTAGAGGTCTGTAAATTGTATCATAGGTACACTTCAACTGTGAGAGACGGAATCTAAAACAAAAATCCAGAAAATCACATTGTATGATTTTTAAGTAATTAATTTGGATTTTATTGCATGACATAAGTATTTGATACATCAGAAAAGTATAACTTAATATTTGGTACAGAAACCTTTGTTTGCAATTACAGAGATCATACGTTTCCTGTAGGTCTTGACCAGGTTTCCACACACTGCAGCAGGGATTTTGGCCCACTCCTCCATATAGACCTTCTCCAGATCCTTCAGGTTTCGGGGCTGTCGCTGGGCAATACGGACTTTCAGCTCCCTCCATAGATTTTCTATTGGGTTCAGGTCTGGAGACTGGCTAGGCCACTCCAGGACCTCGAGATGCTTCTTATGGAGCCACTCCTTAGTTGCCCTGGCTGTGTGTTTCAGGTCGTTGTCATGCTGGAAGACCCAGCCATGACCCATCTTCAATGCTCTTACTGAGGTAAGTAAGGCCAAGATCTCGCGATACATGGCCCCATCCATCCTCCCCTCAATACGGTGCAGTCGTCCTGTCCCCTTTGCAGAAAAGCATCCGCAAAGAATGACGTTTCCACCTCCATGCTTCACGGTTGGGATGGTGTTCTTGGGGTTGTACTCATCCTTCTTCTTCCTCCAAACACGGCGAGTGGAGTTTAGACCAAAAAGCTCTATTTTTGTCTCATCAGACCACATGACCTTCTCCCATTCCTCCTCTGGATCATCCAGATGGTCATTGGCAAACTTCAGACGGGCCTGGACATGCGCTGGCTTGAGCAGAGGGACCTTGCGTGCGCTGCAGGATTTTAATCCATGACGGCGTAGTGTGTTACTAATGGTTTTCTTTGAGACTGTGGTCCCAGCTCTCTTCAGGTCATTGACCAGGTCCTGCCGTGTAGTTCTGGGCTGATCCTTCACCTTCCTCATGATCATTGATGCCCCACGAGGTGAGATCTTGCATGGAGCCCCAGACCGAGGGTGATTGACCGTCATCTTAAACATCTTCCATTTTCTAATAATTGCGCCAACAGTTGTTGCCTTCTCACCAAGCTGCTTGCCTATTGTCCTGTAGCCCATCCCAGCCTTGTGCAGGTCTACAATTGTATCCCTGATGTCCTTACACAGCTCTCTGGTTTTGTCCATTGTGGAGAGGTTGGAGTCTGTTTGATTGAGTGTGTGGACAGGTGTCTTTTATACAGGTAACAAGTTCAAACAGGTGCAGTTAATACAGGTAATGAGTGGAGAACAGGAGGGCTTCTTAAAGAAAAACGAACAGGTCTGTGAGAGCCGGAATTCTTACTGGTTGGTAGTTGATCAAATACTTATGTCATGCAATAAAATACAAATTAATTACTTAAAAATCATACAATGTGATTTTCTGGATTTTTGTTTTAGATTCCGTCTCTCACAGTTGAAGTGTACCTATGATACAATTTACAGACCTCTACATGCTTTGTAAGTAGGAAAACCTGCAAAATCGGCAATGTATCAAATACTTGTTCTCCCCACTGTATTTATATTTTTTTTTACAGATGATGCAAGCTGATTCTTATATACTGTAACAGTGTTTGCTTTATATTTTCTAAAAAATGAAGACCACATTTTTGTTGAAGAAAAATTACTATGTTAGACTTCATGAAAAGAACATACAATGTTTCAACGCCAGCAGATAATTATTATGGTACACATAAATTACTTCATATTGAAAACAAATCTAAATCGGAGTGATACATCCTTGGCTTCGACTACATGTTAGATCACTGTCATTTGTACAAATTTTTCAGAACAAATAAGAGAGTTGAGCCATTTGCCCAAATGTGGCGATGCTTGTCCAACTTCAGGATCTCTTACCCATCCACACAAAATCTGGAATATAAAATGCAGAATATAATATTTTTCCTTTAAATTATATGTGGTGCATATGGTACAAATAGAAAAATAACAGCAACAGTGATTGTTCGGTATGTAATTAACAAACCTATAGGTTATATTGTACATTAAAAGTGACAATCTTGAAATTACTTAATTATTTTATATATATATATAGTTATATATATATATATATATATCAATAAACCAATGTTCACTTTGTATCTGACAATTGGTTTTACTTGTGAAATACTTACTGTACATAGCCTACAGTATGTCATTTGTTTGACTGAAATGTGTGTAAAATAAAACATAACATGTTTTACATGGGAACAACAGGAATTGACTGATATTGATGTGTGTGTGTTTGTTTTTATTGTGATGGTTAGGATTTCTTATCATTATGACCTTACAACAATGACCTACCTATTCTTGCTTGAGCAAAAGAGTGTGATGGGTCCGCACTCAAAAAGATGTTGCATAAAGCTTACTTAATAAATAGAAAAAATATTTGTATGCACCAACCACATTTCTGGGAGAGCGTGATCCCCTTTTGATTAGCTATTTAAGCTTGAGCAAATATTTCCATAGCCTTGCACGATCTTAATCTATTTTCACATAATTTGCCTAAAAGGGAAATATTTGTAGTTTCCTCTCCTATGCCTGTGAATTTGACAATGTACCTGTGTTTTTGAAAACGTGCTGTCATCATTGGAACTGTCTTTAAATAGAGATGGAAATTTAACCTGAGGTGCTCTGATGGGTTTCCCTTCAGTGGTGGAAATGTGTAGGATGCAGTTACTTATTTTTTTATCAGTGCCTCGTGGAGATGCCCCTTTCTGCTTCTTATATAATGTGTAGTTTAAGATCTCATATGCAATATATTATATGAACGCTGAATGCAAATGAATGATGAATGCCATGAATGGTTACTCCCCCACCTTTTTATTCTAAAGCACAATATTTTGGAGATGTTCCATGTTAACACGGTTTCTTGTTGGGTGGCTGATCCACATTCCTTTGGGAAATTGCTTTATGAAATTCTCTTCAGACAAAAAGGTTGTAGGCTACTATAGTTCTGTTATAGACAGCATAGCTGTCCATTTGCACTCTCATCTCTTAATTTAATGTTTAACAATATGGGAAAAGAAAAGATGGCATTGACAATCTAGTGTTGGTTTTTATTCTCCAAAGAAATTGAACTACAGTTTGAGATGGAAAGACCAAACGTAGGCTACAGGGTAACCATCATCAGTGATATCATTCTTCAGAATGAAATGGTTTGTAAATGGGCTAGGTTTGAATATCATATGTCTCCATGTGAGCAAATTACTGTACATGCCCAAAGCGTTCCCATAAGTGGGTGTATTTGGTACATTCTGTAGGTTTAACTGGTCTATGATCAGTTTTAACATTTTAACTCAGATTGATTAACATTAAAGCTAGAGCAGAAAGGCGGATCCTAGACCAGTCGCAAGAAGCAACATATGGGCTAGGTTTGAAAATCATATGTCTCCATGTGGACTCAATACGCTCTTTCCACTGGTCAAGAACCATTCTGTGCCTTTATTTCCGGAAGTACATCTTCAGATTGTCAGAGTTCCCAGATCCAAGGTTCGTAAACATCACTTCCACAATATTGTACAATCTAGCTTAATGGTCCATCATGAAAAATATCTGAATTTTGTGGTTTTAGATTTTCGATATTGTTAGTCCATTAGGCAATTAACAAGCTAGATGCCAAGTTGTTAACGTTAGCAAGCTAGCTAGCTAACGTTAGTTGGAGTTGCTGCTGTCACATTTGGATAGAGCTTACGTAACAAACCACTTATTGATATTCACGTCAATGTATTTTTGGTATCTAGTAACATTATACGAACAATGTGGTGAGGAAGATGTTTACAATAGCTACGTCGTCTTGCAATATGCTATCCCGACTAGCCTAAATGGAAACGAATGTTAGCTAGCTACCTACGCTTAGCTATTGTAGCTAGCTAACTATTTGTGTGCTAGCTAGGCCATCAGTGCACCAGACAGTCAGTTGATGGTTGTCATCAAGGCACAGCCAGCAATTAAGATATGTTTACTGTCATAACATAAGTCTTTTATTTGTAGCTAATCAAGCCATTATATGTCCAACTATTTATGTAGTGAATTGTTAATGGATATCCCTGTGCTTCATCTAGCAGACATCCATCTTTTACCATCCAAGCCACAGAATGACTCATTGGTTCCACCGAAACCCATTGAAAGCAACTGCACCTGTCTCCTTCAACTTCTATGGAGTTGCTGGAAGCCCATCAGCAAACAAGATATGCAAGTATGTACACTTTGCCATTGATATCCATTCTTAGTATGGCAATTGAAAACATGTTTGCTTACATTTATATCCGCCTCATCAGTGACTTGAGAACAACAAGGGCAAGACTCTTGGAGATGTTCACAGATACCACCTGCAATCCCGAAATCATGAAAAATGCCACCGATGCTTATTTCTCCCTCTTACAAGGTGAATTTCTGCTGTTTGTTTGTGCCTTTTCTCCTCTGTCTTTAGCCGGGCTCACTGTTTTGTAGTGTTTTTGTTTGGTCTTTTAGCTACACTCAGTTCATCATGCTGAACTATTTTCCTTTTGTTGTTATTAACAAGTAGTTGTTGGTCTCTTGATTGACATGACACAGGATTCATTTCATCTCTGGATGGCACCACACAAGAGAACAAGCTTCGGTTCATGCAGAACTTCAAGTGGACTGACACTTTGCAAGGAAACATCCCAAGGTAAAGGCTTCTAGCCCATAGGTGGTTTCACAGAGGTGGTTGGTTACCTCCATCAGCCCCACAGTCAGAGCTCCACAGTCCACACATACATTTGAGTTACAATAGTCTTGGTTCTTTTGTATTTCCTGCTGACCATGTTTTATAAATGTGACAGAGCGGCTCGATTCGGTCTTATGTAGCAAAATGTGAAATTATGTTTTTTACATTGGATTAAAGTAAAGACTCAGAGCTAGACAATGGTACAGTGGGGAGAACAAGTATTTGATACACTGCCGATTTTGCAGGTTTTCCTACTTACAAAGCATGTAGAGGTCTGTAATTTTTGTCATAGGTACACTTCAACTGTGATAGACGGAATCTAAAACAAAAATCCAGAAAATCACATTGTATGATTTTTAAGTAATTAATTTGCATATTATTGCATGACATAAGTATTTGATACATCAGAAAAGCAGAACTTAATATTTGGTACAGAAACCTTTGTTTGCAATTACAGAGATCATACGTTTCCTGTAGGTCTTGACCAGGTTTGCACACACTGCAGCAGGGATTTTGGCCCACTCCTCCATACAGACCTTCTCCAGATCCTTCAGGTTTCGGGGCTGTCGCTGGGCAATACGGACTTTCAGCTCCCTCCAAAGATTTTCTATTGGGTTCAGGTCTGGAGACTGGCTAGGCCACTCCAGGACCTTGAGATGCTTCTTACGGAGCCACTCCTTAGTTGCCCTGGCTGTGTGTTTCGGGTCGTTGTTATGCTGGAAGACCCAGCCACGACCCATCTTCAATGGTCTTACTGAGGGAAGGAGGTTGTTGGCCAAGATCTCGCGATACATGGCCCCATCCATGCTCCCCTCAATACGGTGCAGTCGTCCTGTCCCCTTTGCAGAAAAGCATCCCCAAAGAATGATGTTTCCACCTCCATGCTTCACGGTTGGGATGGTGTTCTTGGGGTTGTACTTATCCTTCTTCTTCCTCCAAACACGGCGAGTGGAGTTTAGACCAAAAAGCTATATTTTTGTCTCATCAGACCACATGACCTTCTCCCATTCCTCCTCTGGATCATCCAGATGGTCATTGGCAAACTTCAGACAGGCCTGGACATGCGCTGGCTTGAGCAGGGGGACTTGTGTGCGCTGCAGGATTTTAATCCATGACGGCGTAGTGTGTTACTAATGGTTTTCTTTGAGACTGTAGTCCCAGCTCTCTTCAGGTCATTGACTAGGTCCTGCCGTGTAGTTCTGGGCTGATCCCTTACCTTCCTCATGATCATTGAAGCCCCACGAGGTGAGATCTTGCATGGAGCCCCAGACTGAGGGTGATTGACCGTCATCTTGAACCATTTTCTAATAATTGCGTCAACAGTTGCTGCCTTCTCACCAAGCTGCTTGCCTATTGTCCTGTAGCCCATCCCAGCCTTGTGCAGGTCTACAATTGTATCCCTGATGCTTTACACAGCTCTCTGGTCTTGGCCATTGTGGAGAGGTTGGAGTCTGTTTGATTGAGTGTGTGGACAGTTGTCTTTTATACAGGTAACGAGTTCAAACAGGTGCAGTTAATACAGGTAATGAGTGGAGAACAGGAGGGCTTCTTAAAGAAAAACGAACAGGTCTGTGAGAGCCGGAATTCTTACTGGTTGGTAGGTGATCAAATACTTATGTAATGCAATAAAATGCAAATTAATTACTTAAAAATCATACAATGTGATTTTCTGGATTTTTGTTTTAGATTCAGTCTCTCACAGTTGAAGTGTACCTATGATAAAAATTACAGACCTTTACATGCTTTGTAAGTAGGAAAACCTGCAAAATCGGCAGTGTATCAAATACTTGTTCTCCCCACTGTATATCATACTCCACAGTTGAGGAACAATGGGAAAATAATTATGCTTTGAAACTTGTAACCCCACTTTGAGAAAATGGCTCTTGAATGTTTTGGTACACGTACTGGAGAGCTCTTCTTTTTCTACACCCATTCAGCATCGTTCACACCCTCTTAAGTTAGCCAGTTCAAATAATGACTATATAATAGCTGACAACGTCTTAACTTTAGCTAATTTGTATTCATTATTACAGGAAAATAAACGGACAACGAGATCATTATTTACAAGTTAATGGCGAGCTAATTACAGAAAATACGTTACAGTTGTGAGTGTGACAAAATAATACCAGAGAATTTTAGAACTTGGACACTGTCTCGTTGGTCTAACGTTATATCCTAATTTGACTTTGGTGCAGGTCATGTTGTTCTTCACATGACCGTCTCTGGTAAACACACACTATATCAAATAAAATCAGTGTATTTGTCACATGCACAGGATACAGACGGTGTAAACGGTACAGTGAAATGGTTACTTGCATAGTGGAGTCTTTTGTTTAGACATGTAGCTAGCTAGCTAGCTAGCTAAACAATGAACCATAATCCCAACTCATAATGTTACTACCCTGCATGAATCTGCTGGTAGCTAAAACTAACCAACTAGGTTCAATGTTAGCTAGCTAGCTAACATTAGGCTATGACTAGCAAGGCAAATGGCTCTGAGATACGAATAATATTAATACACAGCTAGCTAGGCTCTCTTACCCATATACATGGATGAACGCTCTGGATGGATGCCATGGTTGCCCTTAGTTTGAAGATGTAATCCGGAGACAGGTGTTTTAACAGCCTTCTGTGTGTTCTCTTTTCGACTCCCTCCGCATATTTGCAATCAAATGCCAGAATTTCTCCATCTCCTTAGTTATCATACTCTGCTTCCACCGAACATTCCACTTATTTCAAAACTCGATCCTCCAGAAAGTGGAGAGCATTAGCTAGCAACACTTTTGCAGTTTGTTGTGATATCTTTCAAAAAAGCAGCGTTAGAAAAGATTACTTACACATACTGAGCAGCTCATGTTATAGACAAGCGTGGTACATGGCAGACATGTCGGCATGTCCAGCCCAGCCATTATCTCAGCCAATCATGGCTATCTGGAAGGTTCCTGTCTTTTTCCGTGGCTAAACCAACTAGGCTCGTAATTTAACCATTTTATTCGTATTTACAGATGGCATACAAGTTTGTTATTAAGGCACATGAAAGCGACATACGCCTAGTTTCCTGAAACGAGTCACATGTGTTATTACATCATTACTCAGGTTAAACATTTGTATAGTGCTCTCACTGCAAATAGATGTCTCCGTTCATTATAGAAATACACAATCTCTTTCTCTAATACTATTATTGTTATTAACATCCTGTCCCATTGCCTCTTTACAGTGCCCAACAAGATGCTATTTTTGAACTGGTCTCCATGGCCTACAATGTTGCAATTTGGCACACCAAGTTTGCCTCAAGACTTGCAGGAAAGGAAAAGCAAGTGTTTACTTTCTGCGTTACTAATTTATTATCATACAATGCATCTGGTTATGCAAATTAGGTCATTTATGACCATGATGTCAATTCACACTCATTCTATTTACATATACATTTTGTAAAGGGTACACATTGACATTGTAATTTTCACCCCTTTTCAGTGTAAAAGAGGTAGATGCAAAAGATGTCCACAGGAGCCTGAAATTTGCTGCTGGGATTTTCAAACACCTCAAGGTGATTAGCTCATATTGTCTCTGTATTATAATAATAATAATAATAAGACATTTGATTTTAAGCATTTTAAGAGATAATCAGCAAGTTAAAAAAGCACACTGATAAACCTATCAAATATGGTTCCTATATTGGCCACTTTACATTAACCTCAACACATGGTGAACAATGTGAATACATTACAGTATCATCAACCTGAACACAAGCCACTGGTTGTTGGTGCATGGTTGTGTTTAGCAGCAGACTCATTCTCCTCTCTGGTCTCTCCTCTTTAGGAGGTCCACATCCCCCGCCTCATCACCCCAGCAGAGAAGGGCCGAGACCTGGAACCCAGAGTCATCGACACCTACATAGTCCAGTGCCAAGCAGAGGCACAGGAAGGTAGCTACACTGGACCCAGCCAACTTCTCTAAATAATGATTAGGGTCAGGAGCTGACAATGTGACTTGGCCAGGGAAACTTCTGGGGCCTTAGGGCAAACTCATGGCCCCATGTATTAGTGTGTATGTGAGAGAGGCAGAATAGCCTACTTATGAAAGTGTTTGCAATGAATATGATATTAGCAGTTATTAACCTAATTTGTATTTATTTTTGCAGTGACGATTGCCAGAGCGATTGAGCTCAAGCATAACGCCACTCTCATTGCAGCCTTGGCCTTCGAGACTGCAAACTTCTACCAGAAAGCTGGTTAGTATTTAGGCCTGTCCTGTCACTTCCTGACTTTGTTGCATTTTTTAAATGATCTTAAATTGTGTTGGAATGTCTGGATCTAACCACTGTTGGTCCTCCTGATCACTCAAATGAATGTTATCCTCTCTATCTTCCCAGACCACACACTGAACACCCTGGAGCCAGAGTGCAGCAGTAAGTGGAGGAAGTACCTCCAGCTGAAACAGCACTTCTACATGTCCTATGTAAGTCCTTGAGCAGTTCTAGACAGTTGAGAGAAAGTCTTTGTTTGTTTGTTTTTGACTGTTCTGTAAATACTACGTTTCTAATTATGCTTATGCCCTTCATTTGTCATTTTCAGGCATACTGCTACCATGGACAGACTCTCCTCGCTAGTGACAAGTGTGGGGAGTCAATAAGATCTCTCCAAGAGGCAGAAAAGTGTTGGTATTTCTGTTCTAGAGATAATACATAATGTTTTGCCTTTTTGAAGCACTAAACAGATGTCTCTTCATCTTAACAAGTGTAAATACTTACAGGTCTTGCTTACTGTGTTTAGGCTACTCCAGAGCCGAGGCTCTGTGCAAAGAGTACCGTCAGACCAAAGGGCCGGGTAGCACGGCCAAGCCCTCTGAGCAGCTCTTCTTCACCAAGCTGGGTGGCCTGATCAAAAATACCCTGCAGAAGTGCGAGAGAGAAAACGGATTCATGTGAGTCAACACATACACACAGAGACACACACACCCACCTTCAGAAGAACATTGATTTGTGTAGAGTAAATAACAGTAAGCAATTGTAGCATTTATACACAAGTGTTTCATTTCTCCAGATACTTCCACAAGGTCCCAGCCGAGGCGCCCCAGCTGGAGCTGAAGGCCAGCTATGGCCTGGCCGAGCCAATCTCCTTTGAGTTGCCAGCCCTCAGCGAGCAATGCACCCCTGAAGTCTACGCCACCTTTGACCTCACCAAGGGGGCCAAAGACGAGAAGGTAATGCTGGTCAGCCATTTGGCACTGAAACAAATATAACTTGGTTACTATAGTTTTTGTGCTCTGAATTTGTTTTGAAGTTATGTCTTCACATATTTTGTCTTGTTACTGATAATAATCATATAAAGACACTGATAGGGTTTTGTTCATTTGCTTGTCTGGGACAAAAGGTTTCACATTTTTCCCCCTCACTATTTTGATTTCAGGCCAAACCAAAGCGGGAAGAAGAGGTTATTAAGCCAATGAAGGAGCCAGATTTGAAGCCCCAGAAAGATACAGGCTGCGTCATCTCTTAAAAAACAGTCAATTTCCGTTCCATGAAAAGTAAACCATAGGAAAAGTCCTTGTTGTTTCTTTGATTTATGGTCAAATGTTTTACATTATGATGATATGCAGTGCTACCAAGCCAGACAATATTCAGTCATTGAGTATAAAATTGCCTCAGAGAAAAGGTTATTGGTGATGGGGGGATAACATAATAGATATGGGAGGAGAAATGTTAATCAACAAGGAATGGAAGAAAAGCATGGATTTATTCATGCATTGGCTTGTTTTATCTGTAGTGTTTTATGGTCAGTGATTTACAGTAGCATCATTTTATACGTAACTGTTTTCTTTTAGATAAAATATTATTGGGTCAAACTTACAGCTGAATTGTTCTCACTAGTGCTGTTGGGGATTTTGTTAAAAGCCCCCGTCATATTGGATCTTTATTTATTGCTCTCATTTAAGAAACTGACAAATCAGATAGTAAGAACTTATAACACTCCATGATGAATATCCAATCATTTGAACAAATCGTATGTTTTCAATTATTTTATTTTTCTGTCTCTTGAGATTCTCTAATTTAATTTAATCACAGTTTTCTTGCAACTGAAAGGACACTCCTGTACATACAGTATCACATTATTCATACTCTCTCAAGACTCTCCATTGCTGGGTAGGGCCTGTATTTATCATAATAACCATTGTGAAATATTTGAGGACAAGGTGGTGCTTGTCTTGGGTCATAATAACCAGAACAAGGCCAGCTGTTCAGTAGGAACATGGAACAACATCTGGGAAGCACTCAGGAGAGAGCAATGTGCTGAATGTTGCAGATAATACATGTAATTCATAAAGCTGACATGAGCATGCCTGTTCTACTCAAAATCTTTGTCTGAACGTTCCATAACATTGTGCCCTATGGAAGGCAATTGTAGGTCTTCCTCTGATCTCAGAAAACTGTTTTAAATAACCCAGACTAGTGGCCATGGTTGCTGTTAAGACTGATTGATGAGCGCAGGAACAATAGAATAATGGTTCATTAAGAAAAATTTAAAAATGATGTCAATCATAACCTGCTCAAACCATTTCAGTAAAGGGAGTAATGCTGTACTTTGGCACATGGTCTTACACATGAAAAACAATATAGAAAGAAGTAGCCTATGTATGTAAATCTATCAAATTCATTACTCATTTTCATTTTATCTGTAAATGACAACGATATACTCCATATGTATGCATTACTGTAGCTTTCAGAGTACTGATTCACCATCATTTCCTAACAGTTGTTTTTGAGAACTAATGACAACTAGCCTCTTCTGAGGCAGTACAATAGGGGGACAAGTAACCTCCAGTATAGTATACTAATTTGCCAATCAAGGAAGACCATTTTGCATTCTTTCTGTGCAACCTCAGAGCACATTTTAGTGCCTTTACATTTTAAATCTTATTAGTCACACAGATGTCAGAACTCAGTGTAGATGTACTGTATCCAGCTCTAAATTATAATTAAAATAACATATTAGGCTATACGTTAGCTTTACAAGCCCTTTTTATTCTTGGAACAATGGATTTTCACATTCAAGGACCAATATTTATTTTAATTAACACATGAATGTAGTTTGCTGTATCATAATGTATACACAAGTCTCACATTACCCTTCTTCTAATGGTGTCCTTCATTGAAAATGTGTTTCAAATGGAAATAAAAACATCAAGAAACCTGAATTACTATTTTATGTTGCATTCAAACACTAACTTTCCTGGTGTGTGTTGTAGTTAGGGTTGCAAAATTCCAGGAGCTTTCAATAAAATCCCTGGTTTTCCCGAAATCCCGGTATGGAAGATTCCCAGCATCCCAGTGACTGTACGTACATACCCCAACCAGAAGCCATGGATTACAGGCAACATCCGCACTGAGCTAAAGGGTAGAGCTGCCGTTTTCAAGGAGCAGGACTCTAACCCGGACACTTATAATAAATCCCGCTATGCCCTCCGACGAACCATCAAACAGGCAAAGAGTCAATACAGGACTAATATTGAATCGTACTACACCGGCTCTGACGCTCGTCGGATGTGGCAGGGCTTGAAAACTATTACAGACTACAAAGGGCTTCGAGGCAAGCAACACTGAAGCATGCATGAGAGCACCAGCTGTTCCGGATGACTATGTGATCACGCTCTCCGTAGCCGATGTGAGGTAAGACCTTTAAGCAGGTCAACATTCACAAGGCCGCAGGGCCAGATGGATTACCAGGACGTGTACACCGAGCATGTGCTGACCAACTGGCAAGTGTCTTCACTGACATTTTCAACATGTCCCTGACTGAGTCTGTAATACCAACATGTTTCAAGCAGACCACCATAGTCCCCGTGCCCAAGGACACTAAGATAACCTGCCTAAATGCCATTAAATGCTTTGAAAGGCTGGTCATGGCTCACATCAACACCATTATCCCAGAAACCCTAGACCCACTCCAATTTGCATACCGCCCCAACAGATCCACAGATGATGCAATCTCTATTGCACTCCACACTGCCCTTTCCCACCTGGACAAGAGGAACACCTACGTGAGAATGCTATTCATTGACTACAGCTCAGCGTTCAACACCATAGTGCCCTCAAAGCTCATCACTAAGCTAAGGATCCTGGGACTAAACACCTCCCTCTGCAACTGGATCCTGGACTTCCTAACAGGCCGCCCCCAGGTGGTAAGGGTAGGTAACAACACATCTGCCACACTGATCCTCAACACGGGGGGCCCTCAGGGGTGCGTGCTCAGTCCCCTCCTGTACTCCTGTTCACCCATGACTGCATGGCCAGGCACGACTCCAACACCATCATTAAGTTTGCCGATGACACAACAGTGGTAGGCCTGATCACAGACAACGATGAGACAGCCTATAGGGAGGAGGTCAGAGACCTGGCCGTGTGGTGCCAGGATAACAACCTCTCCCTCAACGTGGCCAAGACAAAGGAGATGATTGTGGACTAGATGATTGTGGACCATTCTCATCGACGGGGCTGTAGTGGAACAGGTTGAGAGCTTCAAGTTCCTTGGTGTCCACATCACCAACGAACTATCATGGTCCAAACACACCAAGACAGTCGTGAAGAGGGCACGACAAAGCCTATTCCCCCTCAGGAGACTGAAAATATTTGGTATGGGTCCTCAGATCCTCAAAAAATTCTACAGCTGCACCATCGAGAGCATCCTGACTGGTTGCATCACCGCCTGGTATGGCAACTGCTCGGCCTCCGACCGCAAGGCACTACAGAGGGTAGTGCGTACGGCCCAGTACATCACTGGGGCCAAGCTTCCTGCCATCCAGGTCCTCTATACCAGGCGGTGTCAGAGGAAGGCCCTCAAAATTGTCAAAGACTCCAGCCACCCTAGTCATAGACTGTTCTCTCTGCTACCGCACGGCAAGCGGTACCGGAGCGCCAAGTCTAGGTCCAAAAGGCTTCTCAACAGCTTCTACCCCCAAGCCATAAGACTCCTCAACAGCTAATCATGGCTACCCAGACTATTTGCACTGCCCCCCCCCCACCCCCACCTTTTTACGCTGCTGCTACTCTGTTAATTATTTATGCATAGTCACTTTAACTCCACCCACATGTACATATTACCTCAACTAGCCGGTGCCCCGGCACATTGACTCTGCACCGGTACCCCCCTGTATATAGCCTCCCTACTGTTATTTTATTTTACTTCTGCTCTTTTTTTCTCAACACTTTTTTGTTGTTGTTTTATTTTACTTTTTTCTAAAAAAAATTATGCACTGTTGGTTAAGGGCTGTAAGTAACCATTTCACGGTAATGTCTACACCTGTTTTATTTGGCGCATGTGGCAAATAAAATTTGATTTGATCAGGAGGAAATAAGCAGGAACTCCGGAATCCTCCAACCAGGATTTCTGTATAAACTGAATTTCTTGAAAGTTCCTGGAATTTTGCAACCCTAGTTGTAGTCATAGCCATAGATAGACATCACATCTTTGTATCTGTCCCATTATGGCGTCTGTGAGAGCACGGGCAGTGCCATTGAGGTCATCTCCATTTTGAAGTAGTACATTTTGTTCTTCTACTACTTTTATGGGTTGGCAAACAAACTGCCACCTGTAGTGTGTTGTTTGAACAGATAAAGCCAAGGTTGGTGATTTACTGCCACCTGCATTTATTGAATGTTTGCTCAGGAGTACAATTAATTGGCTGATACCTCCTCGTGTGATCCTTCCTTAACCCATAAGAAGTCCCACCCAGCTGACTACTTAAAAATTGTGAAAGTCCTCAATGGCACTGCCCATGCTAAAAATGGGCTTTTGGGCACTAGCATCCTCTATCTATCTCTATGGTTAGTGTCATTAGCCAGAGGAACAACATTACTGCATGTAGCAGTTAACAATAAACGTTTGACATTTGAACAAGCCCAACCATCAGCCTAGAAGTAACTGAAATGAGTAGCTTGTCATCCAAAGGCAGCGTCTGACTGGTGTACACAGTAATCATGACTCAAATGTGTGTTTCTGGTGTGTATCAGGTTTCAAAACTAATGAAGGACTCAGTATCTTGCTTTTTTCTTTTGCATTGATTGACCATTCCAGTGGCATCAGAGTGGAGGAAATGTATTTACTCTTGAGCTGAGAAAACATGTATACTCTACAGGCAGCAGCACAATGAAAGGAAAACATTTTCTTCAGTGAAGAATGAGCGAACGTTTCAAGGAAGTAAGTGCTGTTCATATGTAGGCTAAAGGGTTTACCTGTCGGAGGGTAACAGGCTTTTCTTTATAACAGAAATTTGCATCCTGTAGCACTAACTCCAAAAAGTTTTGGGACACTGTAAAGTCCATGGAAAATAAGAGCACTTCCTCCCAGCTGCCCACTGCACTGAGGCTAGGAAACACTATCACCACCGATAAATCTACAATAATCGAGAATTTCAACAAGCATTTTGCTACGGCTGGCCATGCTTTCCACCTGGCTACCACTACCCCGGCCACCAGCTCTGCACCCTCCGCTGCAACTTGCCCATGCCCCCCCCGCTTCTCCTTCACACAAATCCAGACAGCTGATGTTCTGAAAGAGCTGCAAAATCTGGACCCCTACAAATCATCTGGGCTAGACAATCTGGACCCTTTCTTTCTAAAACTAGCCGCCGAAATTGTCGCAACCCCTATTACTAGCCTGTTCAACCTCTCTTTCGTAACGTCTGAGATCCCCAGAGATTGGAAAGGTGCCGCGGTCATCCCCCTCTTCAAAGGGGGTGACACTCTAGATCCAAACTGTTACAGACCCATATCCATCCTGCCCTGCCTTTCAAAAGTTTTTGAAAGCCAAGTCAACAAACAGATCACCGACCATTTCGAATCCCACCGTACCTTCTCCGCTATGCAATCCGGTTTCCGAGCTGGTCATGGGTGCACTTCAGCCACGCTCAAGGTCCTAAACGATATTATAACCGCGATCGATAATAGACAGTACTGTGCAGCCGTTTTCATTGACCTGGCCAAGACTTCGACTCTGTCAACCACCGCATTCTTATTGGCAGACTAAATAGCCTTGGTTTCTCAAATGACTGCCTCACCTGGTTCATCAACTACTTCTCAGATAGAGTTCAATGTGTCAAATCGGAGGGCCTGTTGTCTGGACCTATGGCAGTCTCTATGGGGGTGCCACAGGGTTCAATTCTTGGGCCGACTCTTTTCTCTGTGTATATCAATGACGTCGCTCTTGCTGCTGGTGACTCTCAGATCCACCTCTACGCAGACGACACCATTTTGTATACATCTGGCCCTTCATTGGACACTGTGTTAACAAACCTCCAAACGAGCTTCAATGCCATACAACACTCCTTCAGTAGCCTCCAACTGCTCTTAAACACTAGTAAAACTAAATGCATGCTCTTCAACCGAACGCTGCTTGCACCCGCCCACCCGACTAGAATCACTACTCTCGACGGGTCTGACCTAGAGTATGTGGACAACTACAAATATCTAGGTGTCTGGTTAGACTGTAAACTCTCCTTCCAGACTCACATTAAGAATCTCCAATCCAAAGTTAAATCTAGAATCGGTTTCCTATTTCGCAACAAAGCCTCCTTCACTCATGCTGCCAAACATGCCCTCGTAAAACTGACTATCCTACCGATCCTTGACTTCGGCGATGTCATTTACAAAATAGCCTCCAACACTCTACTCAGCAAATTGGATGTAGTCTATCACAGTGCCATCCGTTTTGTCTCCAAAGCCCCATATACTACCCACCACTGTGACCTGTACGCTCTTGTTGGCTGGTCCTCACTACATATTCTTCGCCAAACCCACTGGCTCCAGGCCATCTATAAATCACTGCTAGGCAAATCCCCGCCTTATCTTAGCTCATTGGTCACCATAGCAACACCCACCCGTAGTCTGCGCTCCAGCAGGTATATCTCACTGGTCATCCCCAAAGCCAACACCTCCTTTGGCCGCCATTCCTTCCAGTTCTCTGCTGCCAATGACTGGAACAAATTGCAAAAATCTCTGAAGCTGGAGACACTTATCTCCCTCACTAACTTTAAGCATCAGTTGTCAGAGCACCTTAGCGATCACTTCACCTGTACACAGCCCATCTGAAATTAGCCCGCCCAACTACCTCATCCCTATATTGTTATTTATTTTGCACATTTGTACCCCAGTATCTCTATTTGCACATCATCTCTTGCACATCTATCATTCCAGTGTTAATACTAATTGTAATTATTTTGCACTATAGTCTATTTATTGCCTTACCTCCATAACTTGCTACATTTGCACACACTGTATATATATTTATTTCTGTAGTATTTTTGACTTTGTTTTGTTTTACCCCATATGTAACTCTGTGTTGTTGTTTTTATCGCACTGCTTTGCTTTATCTTGGCCAGGTCGCAGTTGTAAATGAGAACTTGTTCTCAACTGGTTTACCTGGTTAAATAAAGGTGAAATAAAAAAAAATAAAAAAATAATTACTTTTTCAGTATCTCAATTCAGAGCTACTTTTATGATTGCTTCCTGTATGGATCATGCTAATAGCTCTTTAAAGCTAGAATCTGCAGTTGCTACATCCATTTTTGGATTTATAAATGTACAATATATTCTCATTGAATATAACATATAAATACCTTAGTTCAACTGTCCTACCATATCAGAACCCAAAATGTAAGCTTGTTAATGTAAACAAACACTGTATAGACTCAAAACATGGTGAAAACTATAAGTTCGATATCATGGATGGTGCATCCATAGCTCTGTCTATGAATTTGAGTGGTTGCATTTCTCTAGGCCCTTCCCTCAGCTTTTTACGAAAACAGAGGTGGGGTATTCACTTTGTTATTGTTTCACCTGCGGATTCTAGCTTTAATACAATCCCAAACCATTATCACGCACAACCACAGAACTTTTGTTAATTTAATTGTTTATGCAGAAAAGGGGTATTCGAGAGAATATGGAGTAATTCACAGTGTGTCTCTCAGGGCCCTGACATTCAGGAGACACAGTTCGGGGGTCCCTCTCTGTCCCAGCAGAAGAGGGTCATCCATTTCTCCAGCGGTGAGACGCTGGAGGAAGATAACAGTGAGGAAGAGGAGGATACATCACATGAGCAGGTGTTTAGGGAGCCTGATGACATGGTATGGAAGTTTTCAAACAGATAAGATTTAGATTCTTAGTAGATTTTTTGTTGTTGTCCATTAGTAGTCTAAATGTAGCACTAACCTGTTGCATTCCATTCCAGTGTGCTCTTGAAACATTCAAATTCAGCAAGGCAGTGTACTCCATATAATTCAGTCATTGTATAGAAATAATACTTTACCACTGTATGTCCATTAAATACATTTTAGAAAATGTCTTACATAAAGTATTTTTGTCTTCAGCTTGTGATTTTATTGGGGAAAAACTAGCTGGTCTACTTGGCCTTAACACTGCCAAATACCAGTATGCTGTAGACGAATATCAGCATGCCATTAAGATAAGGTAGTTGTACACATAACATAAGGACAACGAACACAATTGCATTTTATCGATGGCAATTTGAATGCACAGAGATACCGTGACGAGATCCTGAGGCCCATTGTTGTGCCGTTCATCCGCCGCCATCAACTCATGTTTCAGCATGATAATGCACGGCCCGATGTCGCAAGGACCTGTACACAATTCCTGGAAGGTGAAAATGTCCCAGTTCTTCCATGGCCTGCATACTTACCAGACATGACACCCACATAGCATGTTTGGGATGCTCTGGATCAATGTGTACGACAGCGTGTTCCAGTTCCCGCCAAAATCCAGCAAGTTCGCACAGCCATTGAAGTGGGACAACATTCTACAGGCCACAATCAACAGCCTGATCAACTCTATGTGAAGGAGATGTGTTACGTTGCATGATGCAAATTATGGTCACACCAGATACTGACTGGTTTTCTGATCCATGCCCCTACCTTTAAAAAAAAAGGTATCTGTGACCAACAGATGCATATCTGTATTCCCAGCCATGTGAAATCCACAGATTAAGGCCTAATGAATTTATTTAAATTGACTGATTTCCTTATATGACCTATAACTCAGTAAATGTTTTGAAATTGTTGCATGTTGCGTTTATATTTGTGTTCAGTGTATATATAATACAGTACCAGTCAAAAGTTTGGACACACCTACTCACTCATTCAAGGGTTTTTCTATATTTTTACTATTTTCTACATTGTAATATAACAGTGAAGACATCAAAACTATGAAATAACACAAAAAAGTGTTAAACAAATCAAAATATATTTTATATTTGAGATTCTTCAAATGGCCACCCTTTGCCTTGATGACAGCTTTGCACCTTCTTGGCATTCTCTCAACCAGGTTCATGAGGTAGTCACCTGGAATGCATTTCAATTAACAGGTGTGCCTTCTTAAAAGTTAATTTGTGGAATTTATTTCCTTCATCAGATGCTGCATCAGATGATCTGGCCTCCACAATCACCCGACCTCAACCCAATTGAGATGGTTTGGGATGAGTCGGACCGCAGAGTGAAGGAAAAGCAGCCATCAAGTGCTCAGCATATGTGGGAACTCCTTCAAGACTGTTGGAAAAGCATTCCAGGTGAAGCTGGTTGAGAGAATGCCAAGCGTGTGCAAAGCTGTCATCAAGGCAAAGGTTGGCTATTTGAAGATTCTCAAATATAAAATATACTTTGATTTGTTTAAGATTTTTTTGTTTACTACATGATTCCATATGTGTTATTTCATAGTATTGATGTCTTCACTATTATTCTACAATGTAAAAAATAGTCAAAATAAAGAAAAACCCTTGAATGAGTAGGTAGTGTATATCCCTTATTTCCCCCCCCCCCCCCCCCCCCCCCCCAGCTCTCAGAAGGTTATTTTAGTATTTTCATGGTTGTTTGACAAAACAAACAAATAGTCTTCCAAATTGTATTTGAAAGTACTGTATTTTCAACTACTTATTTCAAATACCTGGGTTAAATTAATGGGAGCCAGTATTTGAGTATTTTCTAATACTTTCCAAGTGTATTTCCAAATACATTCCAATACTCAACTACTTGTTTTTTTTTATTTTACCTTTATTTAAAAAGGCAAGTCAGTTAAGAAGAAATTCTTATTTACAATGACGGCCTACACCGGCCAAACCCGGACGATGCTGGGCCAATTGTGCGCCGCCCTATGGGACTCCGCCTGTTGTTATACAGCCTGGAATTGAACCAGGGGGTCTGTAGTGACGCCTCAAGCGCTGAGATGCAGTGCCTTAGAAATATCTGAAATAGTTTTTGAACCCAGGTCTGGTTTCTACTCCTATTGCACTTTATTTTATTTTAATAAAATGCTGTTTAAAAAAAAAGGAAACATTTTCCATGCATCCCTTCAATTTAATTGAATTTCTGACTAGATGCGGTTGTACATAATAATAATAATATGCCATTTAGCAGACGCTTTTATCCAAAGCGACTTACAGTCATGCGTGCATACATTTTTGTGTATGGGTGATCCCGGGGATCGAACCCACTACCTTGGCGTTACAAGCGCCGTGCTCTACCAGCTGAGCTACAGAGGACCACAATTATGTCAGACATATTGTGTACAGCACAGAGCATAGCTAGTTGCAATATATGACTACATTCAGGATAGGGTTAAAAGTATTCGACGAGGATGGGATTCGAACCCACGCGTGCAGAGCACAATGGATTAGCAGTCCATCGCCTTAACCACTCGGCCACCTCGTCTTTCTTCCCTACGCTAAACAGTTAGCTTTATGAAACCAACCAGGCTACATATGTTCCCCCCAGCTAGCTATACAATATATTCTACTGCATGTTTGATTAGTTTTCGCAACATGTAACGTTGCATTTCAGAATCGTTCTGATTTGTATAAATAAAATGTTTTCATTTTAGCTAGCCTCATCTGTCTTAATCATTCCATTGTGGTAGATAGCTAACGTTAGCCAGCTAGCATTTCAAGCTGGACCTATGAGCGTAAGAAAACACTTGAAACGCAGGCGCATTCTGAATTCAACAAATATCTAGCTAGTAGCAGCAGCTAGTGCTTTGAAAGCTCACGCTAGCCAACATGCAAATGGCTGACAGAGTAATTTCGGCTGTTTCGGATTATCCCGAGTTGTATAACATAACTTTAAACTCGTACAAGGACTCACAGAGAAAGGCAAGGGCATGGAGGGCTGTAAGTCTGCAAGTGGAAATGCCTGGTAAGGACAGCTTGCTGCTAGCAAGACAACCTTAGCTAGCTAACTCGTAAGGGTGAGGACTAGATGGTATCAGCTACGAAGAGAATTTACTTTTCGTAGCAGGTTAGGATAATTCATGTATCAGGTTAGAATAATTAGGTTAAGGCTTGGACAATTGTTTGGTTTAGGGATAACTAAAAATGGAAAAACTCCCGAAACGACATGATTTTGTGAAGATTTAGACGGTATTTGCGTCACTTCCGTCCGTAGCAGTACAGCATCTAGCCACAACCGCAAGTAAGCTTGCCAACTTGCTAGCAACCTACTTGAACTGTGTTGTTGACCAAAGACCCAACTTTCTCTCACCTAGTAGGTAGCTAGCTACATACATAGCCAGCTACATACTTAGCTAGCTACCTGCCAATTGTTATTTCCCTAATAAAACAACAATGTGATCCCTGCAATAAGGTAAATTAGGAATAAATACATGTTTACATAATATTCAAGAAATGGCATGGTGTGTAATTCCCTCAACCTTTGATAGGTCAGATTGAGATTGCTCTATTTGTGTAAGATGCAGGTACCCTTACCCGTCTCCCCTCTTCTTTTTGTCTGACGTGTCATTTGGTGTGTTCAGTTGATGACTGTCAGAAGAAATGGAAGAACCTGAGGGACACCTTTGTCAGATTCAAGCGGGCTGAGCAGCAGAGGAAAGCCTCTGGGGAGCCAGATAGTCACAAGAAGAACTGGATGCACAGCAGGAGAATGTCCTTCCTCACCCCCTTCATCCAGGCCAAGGGCTGGCAAGGAGACACCTCAGGTGACTTGGAGGATGAGGAATGGGGAGAGGATGATAAGGAAAGGGAGAGGAACGGGGAAAGTGCCACAGAAGGCGTGGATAATAAATCAGCCTTCATTATCCACGAGATCGAGGGGGACCAGGCAGACGATGAAGATGCTCCCTCTCCTGACACTGCGTCGGGATCCAATGGGCCCAGCCAGAAGAGGAGGTGGCAGATGGATGGGATGGATGGAATGGAGGACATAGAGGACGAGATGTTCTTCTTTAGTTTGCTCCCGTATCTTAGGAAGCTCCCCCATAGAAAGAAGAGTGCTGTAAAACTGAAAATACACCAACTTTTACATGAAGCAGCATTCCAATAACCCACTGCCCCGCCACGCCCCCTCCTTCCCTCAATTCTGTTTCCACTATTTTGTAAAGCATAAGCCTACATTTTGTCATGTTACCAACTATTATTCTATACTCAGTTTGATACTATGCCTGTTGTTTATGGTGATTGCAAGGTCAATTGTTAACAAATAAATACTTTATACATTTGAGGGCCTGAACTGATTGCTGTGTCTGCAAGCAATTCTCAACTTGCTCAGGATAATGAATCACTACTCCCTTCCCCCTGGACAGATGTGGAGACTGTTGGCAATGGTGATGCTACCTGTTAAGCAAGGTTAAACATTAATATAAGATCTCACTAGCCAGCTTTGACACTGTTTTGCATGCTTTTTATACGTTTTTAACACAGAAGCAGAGAGGGGTACTTTTCAATACTTACAAGGTGGTGGCAGTCACAGTCTCACTGATTGTCATATAAAAAAAGTGTTATTCTTTTCCCCCAGCCAATGAGTGTTGGCTCACATTCGTTTTCCCTGAGCTGCTTGGGAAGGTGCTCTGAACTGGTTTTATAACATCCCACATGTCAGCAGCACTGTAGAGTCAAGGCCCCCAGTTACTTTTTACCATAGCAGACATAAACTTTATCAAGGGCTAAAGGTCCTCTGGTTCACTTGGAAACTTAAACCAAAGCAGAAACTCAAATCTCTAGCCATATTCATCATGTCCATGCAGACACTTCTCTTCTTGACAGGGCTGGTTGCGCTGTCCAGTTCATACACTGTAAGTACAGTAAATACATTTTAATTATGATTGTGAAGATGATTACTAGACATGTAATGGTAGTGCTTAAAGGAATAGTGGAATTGAAATGATAGCATATTTGTTTCTCTTTGGGGGGACAGATTCCTCTGTCATCTCGTGTGCATGGTATGTCAACCAAATATCTTTACATAAAGTCAATTCTAAGTACATCAAAATTATTCTACTTCCATGTCTTGATCTGAGCCATGCTTTTTATGTGCAGAGGTATACGGAAAGGGTGAAGATGATAATCCCTTACTTAACTTGGGTGAGTTTGAGGAACTTAACCTGATGTTTGTATGTGGTAATTTTGATTAAACATTTCATGTTTGATGTTCATGACATGAATAGTGATCAAATGTTGAATTCATTGTTTTCAAATGATATTTGGCCTGACAGGGGCAGAAGAAGACTTGGTTGAAGGGGATATGCTCATTCTGGTAAGAAACAGTGGTATTATTTTGCTATATGTTATCAGATAGCTGTTATCACTTAAAAAAACAGATTGTCCCTTGATAATCTTTATGTCTTCCCTGAGTCCAGAAAGATTCAGTCCAATTAGTACATGACTCCTTTTCCTCCTTTTAACAGCAAGGACGCAATGCCTTGATTGACACTAAATACAGATGGAAGTTTCCCATACCGTACATTCTGTCAGATGACTTGGGTAAGTGCAAGTTGAATTTGATATAGAGTCCAACTAAAATTACTTGAATTCATTTATTTACATGCAACACAGCATAAAAGGCACAATATCCATTTATTACACAGTAAGCCACTTGTGATGTCTTATCTTTGTTCTTCCTTGTCTTTCAGATTTGAATGCCAAAGGTTGTGTCCATCAGGCATTTGAAATGTACCGTCTGAAATCTTGCATAGACTTCAAGCCCTACGAAGGCGAGAAGACATACATCAAGTTTGAAAAGAGAGGCGGGTATGAGCTGATTATGTACAGATTGTCCAACAACCATTTATTTTACACAGATGCTCTACAGCTTTCATGTATACATTCACCAGGACAGACTAAATGAACAAATCTCAGTCAATTTGTTACGCAAAATGATTGCCTTCTTGCATAACTGCTGCATAGTTTTAACATTCGACTTTAAACATGTCCGCCCTCACACATCCATGTAACGCAACTTTGAACTGTGTTTGCCAGGTGTTTCTCCAGCGTTGGGGACCAGCAGAATGGACAGATCCTGTCCCTTGGCGATGGCTGTGACCACAAGGCTGTGATCGAACATGAGCTCCTCCACGCTCTGGGCTTCTACCATGAGCAGTCTCGCCAGGACAGAGACGACTACGTCAAGATCTGGCTTGACCAGGTCACTCCAGGTCAGTATCAGTCAGCCCTCTGGTTGATGAGAGACAGCAAGGGTGGCTGATCTTGGCCACAAAGGGCCAAGTGGAGGGTTTTGTTACAGCCTAGCACTAACACAGCTGATTCACAAAATGTGACTGTCTAGATGCAATAACATTATTAGTTAAGTGGGAACATTTTAGTATGACATGTTTTGTATTCTTTCTTGCAGGGCTGGAACATAATTTCAACAAATACGATGATTCCTTCATCACTGACCAGAACACCCCTTATGATTATGAGTCTGTCATGCACTACCGGCCATACTCCTTCAACGTGGACCCCAACATTCCCACCATCACCACCAACATCCCAGAATTCAACAATATCATTGGCCAGTACCTGGACTTCAGCAAACTGGACATGCTGAGGTTGAACAGGATGTATAACTGCTGTAAGTGTTGTGAGACAGAGAGTATTACCTATTTTTCCTGACACAGCTGTGTGGCAGCGGTGTAGGAAAATGTAAACTACTAGTTTTAAGAACAAGCTGATCACCTCTCTGTTTTTGTCAAGTTAAAATGTTCTAGTGTCAGATGTGATAATGAAATTAAAGTTGCTTCATTGTGATACACGTGCAAACGTGTCAACTGAGATATGCCCCTCCATTTCCAGCCTCCCCTATCACTCTCCTGGACCAGTGTTCCTTTGAGTACATCAACATCTGTGGGATGATTCAGAGCCCCACTGATGATGCAGACTGGGTCCACACCAAGAGCAGCACTGGGAACGAGGATCACACTCTCATTGGCCAATGCAGAGGTCAGAGTTCAACGATACATAGCCTCAGATCAACCACTTCTAGGAGTAGATTACCATATCCCCAATCCTAACCATTAGAGTGAAGAGCTCTAACAGTATGTGTGATATCTTTGTGGTCTTTTAGATGCAGGTTACTACATGCACTTCAACACTAAAACTGGGAAGGCGGAGGAGTCAGCTCTGCTAGAGTCTCGCATCCTCTATCCCAAGAGACACCTGCAGTGTCTGCAGTTCTTCTACAAGATGACAGGCGGACCAAAGGACAGACTTGTGATATGGGTCAAGATGGACGATGGGACTGGGACAGTTCGCAAACTGAAGAAAATGCACACTATCTGGGGTATTCATTTTCAAATATACAATCACTGATACAGTTGAAGTCAGAAGTTTACATACACCTTAGCCAAATACATTTAAACTCAGTTTTTAACAATTCCTGACATTTAATCCTAGTAAAAACTCCCTGTTTTAGGATCACCACTTTATTTTAAGAATGTGAAATGTCAGAATAATAGTAGAGAGAATGATTTATTTCATCACATTCCCAGTGGGTCAGAAGTCTACATACACTCAATTAGTATTTGGTAGCATTGCCTTTAAATTGTTTAACTTGGGTCAAACGTTTTGGGTAGCCTTCCACAAGCTTCCCACAATAGGTTGGGTGAATTTTGGCCCATTCCTCCTGACAGAGCTGGTGTAACTGAGTCAGGTTTGTAGGCCTCCTTGCTCGCACATGCTTTTTCAGTTCTGCCCACAAACTTTCTATAGGATTGAGGTCAGGGCTTTGTGATGGCCACTCCAATACCTTGACTTTGTTGTCCATAAGCCATTTTGCCACAGCTTTGGGAGTATGTTAGGGGTCATTGTCCATTTGGAAGACCCATTTGCGACCAAGCTTTAACTTCCTGACTGATGTCTTGAGATGTTGCTTCAATATATCCACATAATTTTCCTTCCTCATAATGCCATCTATTTTGTGAAGCGCACTAGTCCCTCCTGCAGCAAAGCACCCCCACAGCATGATGCTGCCACCCCCGTGCTTCACGGTTGGGATGGTGTTCTTCGGCTTGCAAGCAACCCCCTTTTTCCTCCAAACATAACGATGGTCATTATGGCCAAACAGTTATATTTTTGTTTCATCAGATCAGAGGACATTTCTCCAAAAAGTACGATCTTTGTCCCCATGTGCAGTTGCAAACAGTAGTCTGGCTTTTTTATGGCGGTTTTGGAGCAGTGGCTTCTTCCTTGCTGAGCGGCATTTCAGGTTATGTCTATATAGGACTAGTTTTACTGTGGATATACTGTAGATACTTGTTTCCTCCAGCATCTTCACAAGGTCCTTTGCTGTTGTTCTGGGATTGATTTGGACTTTTCGCACCAAAGTACGTTCATCTCTAGGAGACAGAATGCGTCTCCTTCCTGAGCGGTATGACGGCTGCATGGTCCCATGGTGTTTATACTTGCGTACTATTGTTTGTATAGATGAATGTTCCCAAGGACGAACCAGACATGTGGAGGTCTACATTTTTTTTTCTGAGGTCTTGGCTGATTTCTTTTGATTTTCCCATGATGTCAAGCAAAGAGGCACTGAGTTTGAAGGTAGGCCTTGAAATACATCCACAGGTACACCCCCAATTGACTCCAATGATGTCAATGAATTGTTTGTTAACAAGAAATTTGTGGAGTGGTTGAAAAACTACTTTTAATGACTCCAACCTAAGTGTATGTAAACTTCAGACTCCAACTGTATATGTATTGTTTATCCTCTTCGTTTGAAACTTTGTTACAGTGAGGGAAAAAAGTATTTGATCCCCTGCTGATTTTGTACATTTACCCACTGACAAAGAAATGATCAATCTATAATTTTAATGGTAGGTTTATTTGAACAGTGAGAGACAGAATAACAACAAAAAAATCCAGATAAACGCATGTCTGGCTCCCAGGTGTCTTTTATACAGGTAACGAGCTGAGATTAGGATCACACTCTTAAAGGGAGTGCTCCTAATCTCAGCTTGTTACCTGTATAAAAGACACCTGTCCACAGAAGCAATCAATCAATCAGATTCCAAACTCTCCACCATGGCCAATACCAAAGAGCTCTCCAAGGATGTCAGGGACAAGATTGTAGACCTACACAAGGCTGGAATGGGCTACAAGATCATCGCCAAGCGGCTTCGTGAGAATGTGACAACAGTTGGTGCGATTATTTGCAAATGGAAGAAACACAAAAGAACTGTCAATCTCCCTCGGCCTGGGGCTCCATGCAAGATCTCACCTCGTGGAGTTGCAATAATCATGAGAACGGTGAGGAATCAGCCCAGAACTACACAGGAGGATCTTGTCAATGATCTCAAGGCAGCTGGGACCATAGTCACCAAGAAAACAATTGGTAACACACTACGCCGTGAAGGACTGAAATCCTGCAGCGCCCGCAAGGTCCCCCTTTTCAAGAAAGTACATATACAGGCCCGTCTTAAGTTTGCCAATGAACATCTGAATGATTCAGAGGAGAACTGGGTGAAAGTGTTGTGGTCAGATGAGACCAAAATGGAGCTCTTTGGCATCAACTCAACTCGCCGTGTTTGGAGGAGGAGGAATGCTGCCTATGACCCCAAGAACACCATCCCCACCGTCAAACATGGAGGTGGAAACATTATGCTTTGGGGGTGTTTTTTTGCTAAGGGGACAGGACAACTTCACCGCATCAAAGGGATGATGGACGGGGCCATGTACCGTCAATTCTTGGGTGAGAACCTCCTTCCCTAAGCCAGGGCATTGAAAATGGGTCGTGGATGGGTATTCCAGCATGACAATGACCCAAAACACACAGCCAAGGCAACAAAGGAGTGGCTCAAGAAGAAGCACATTAAGGTCCTGGAGCGGCCTAGCCAGTCTCCAGACCTTAATCCCATAGAAAATCTGTGGAGGGAGCTGAAGGTTCGATTTGCCAAACGTCAGCTGAAGGTTCGAGTTGCCAGCCTCGAAACCTTAATGACTTGGAGAAGATCTGCAAAGAGGAGTGGAACAAAATCCCTCCTGAGATGTGTGCAAGCCTGGTGGCCAACTACAAGAAACGTTTGACCTCTGTGATTGCCAACAAGGGTTTTGCCACCAAGTACTAAGTCATGTTTTGCAGAGGGGTCAAATACTTATTTCCCTCATTAAAATGCAAATCAATTTATAACATTTTTGATATGCGTTTTTCTGGATTATTTTGTTGTTTTTCTGTCTCTCACTGTTCAAATAAACCTACCATTAAAATTATAGACTGATCATGTCTTTGTCAGTGGGCAAACGTACAAAATCAGCAGGGGATCAAATACTTTTTTCCCTCACTGTACTACATTGATTTAATTTTGTTTCGTAAACTAGGAGATGCCGACCACACATGGAGGATTGTCCACGTCTCCATGGAGATCGAAGAGAAGTTCCGCTATGCTTTCCAAGGTGTCCGAGGAGATCCAGCTACATCCAGTGGAGGAATCTTCATTGACGACATCAGCCTGACGGAGACTCGCTGTCCCAACGCTGTCTGGCAGATCAAGAACTTCACCGGAATCCTCAACACTGCAAACAATACCACTGTCATGGACAGTCCAGTCTTCTACAGCCCAGAGGGCTATCGTTACGGTGTACGTGTCCGTCCCGTCTCTGACTACAGTGACTACACTGGTGGCTACACTGGGCTGTACTTCCACCTGGCCAGCGGGGCTAATGACGTGGTCATGCAGTGGCCGGCCCTGAACAGGCAGGCTAAAATCGTGGTCATGGACCAGGATCCTGACATCAAACTGAGGATGTCGTCTGCTCGCAGTTTGACTACAGACCTGATAAAGAGTAGGTCATTATTGTGTTTAGAGACTACACTTGTGGTTAGATTTGTCTTCATGATATCTGGCCCATAATCTGATCAGATTACGACGGCCATGAAACAGCTGTAATGTGATTTAATAGTCTTATGATATACAGTATGTTTCTGTGTTCTCCAGCTCCAGATGGGAAGCTGTGGTGGGACAATCCAACCAATGTGGGGACCTATGACCCAGAGTGTGGGTGCTACAGGGGAGAGTCGCGAGGATGGCGCAATATGATCAAGCATTTTGACTTGCGACGACGGAACTACCTGAAAAACGATGACCTCATCATCTTTGTCGACTTTGAAGGTAAGTGGAGGAGGACTAGTATCGTTACTGGTCAGATCATACTATTAAAACACAAATTTGTTTTACATCACTGTCAGATATCAGGATTTGACCTCCTGAAATGCTTTGCGATAGCCAGAGCAATAAACGAGCTTGTTAGATTTTGAGGTCAGCTGATTGAATGGCAACACTGCTTTTAATGTCTCTATAGACATAACATCTCTGATAAAAACCGAGGTTCCCATCAACCCAAAGGAGTGAGAACGTGTTTTACTACCACAGAGGGGAGGTAAGCTGTTTCTTTTAAATTCTCTAAAATTTCTTTCCTTTTTGTGACATTTGTATTTTCATTAATATTGTTCCAATTTATGTTTTTTGTGTCTTTGTATTTAATATTTCGGCAGAACCGGCAGTCCTGAGGATTTGGACAGACTCAGGAAAAGTACAGAAAATAACAGCACAATTTATGTAAACTAATGTTGTTCGTAAATATACATTATTTTGTATAAAATGTGATTGGTTTGCAAACTTTATAAAATAACTAAATACTCTTGAAATTGTATGTGTTTTTACTGTTCAAATATTCTTATTCACATTTCTTTCATTAAAGTTTGAGTCTTCAAATAAATGCTTCATTATGTTTTTTCTGTTGCACAGGATTTTTTGTTTTGAAATAAAAATAAATATTTCGTAGACATGATCACAGTAAAATACAATTTATAAAGTCATATATGTATGAGGGTCATGACTCCTTTATATGCCACTTAAATGACGGGGGATTATTTCGAATAGGCTATCACTTTTAGTACCTCAAAATGTCCATGTTGTAATACAGTTTATGTCACATACTTCAATCATCATGTACATCATATACAATATGTTTGCATTTGTTACCATAGCGCGTTATATTACCCATAGAAATATATACTGAACAAAAATATAAACGCAACATGTAAGGTGTTGGTCTCATGTTTCATGAGCTGAAATAAAAGATCCCAGAACATTTCCATACGCACAAAAAGCTTATTTCTCTAAAATGTTGTGCACAAATTTGTTTACATCACTGTTAGTGAGCATTTCTCCTTTGCCAAGATAATCCATCCACCTGACAGGTGTGGCATATCAAGAAGCTGATTAAACAGCATGATCATTACACAGTTGCACCTTGTGCTGGGGACAATAAAAGGCCACTCTAAAAGTGCATGTTTTGTCACACAACACAATGCCACAGATGTCTCAAGTTTTGAGGGAGCGTGCAATTGGCATGCTGACTACGTTGTTTTAAAGAATTTGGCAGTACATCCAACCGGCCTCACAACCGCAGACTAAGTGTATCCACGCCAGCCCAGGACCTCCACATCCGGCTTCTTCACCTGCAGGATAATCTGAGACCAGCCACCCGGACAACTGATGAAACTGTGGGTTTGCACAAGCAAAAAATTTCTGCACAAACTGTCAGAAACCATCTCAGGGAAGCTCATCTGCGTGCTCGTCATCCTCACCAGGGTCTTGACCTGACTGCAATTCAGCATTGTAACCGACTTCAGTGGGCAAATGCTCACCTTCAATGGCCACTGGCATGCTGAAGAAGTGTGCTCTTCATAGATGAATCCCTGTTTCAACTGTACCGGGCAGATGGCATTTAGCATGTATGGCGTTGTGTGTGCGAGCAGTTTGCTGATGTCAACGTTGTGAACAGAGTGCCCCATGGTGATGGTGGGGTTATGGTATGGGCAGGCATAACTTATGGACAATGAACACAATTGCATTTTATCGATTGCAATTTGAATGCACAGAGATACCGTGAAGAGATCCTGAGGCCCATTGTCGTGCCGTTCATCTGCCGCCATCACCTCATGTTTCAGCATGATAATGCACAGCCCCATGTCGCAAGGATCTGTAGCATATTCCTGGAAGCTGAAAATGTCCCAGTTCTTCCATGGCCTGCATACTCACCAGACATGTCACCCATTGAGCATGTTTGGACTGCTCTGGATCGACATGTACGACAATGTGTTCCGGTTTCCGCCAATATCCAGCAACTTCTCTGTAGCTCAACTGGTAGAGCACGGCGCTTGTAACGCCAGGGTAGTGGGTTCGATCCCCGGGACCACCCATACACAAAAAATGTATGCACGCATGACTGTAAGTCGCTTTGGATAAAAGTGTCTGCTAAATGGCATATTATTTATTATTATTAACTTAACACAGCCATTGAAAAGGAGTGGGACAACATTCCACAGGCCACAATCAACAGCCTGATCAACTCTATGCGAAGGAGCTGTGTCACGCTGCATGAGGCAAATGGTGGTCACACCAGATACTGACTGTTTTTCTGATCCATGCCCTACATATTGTTAAGGTATCTGTGACCAGTCATGTGAAATCCATAGATTAGGGCCTAATGAATATATTTCAATTGATTTATTTCCTTATAGGAACTGTAACTCCAAATCTTTGAAATTGTTGCGTGTTGCGTTTATATTTTGGTTCAGTGTAATTACTATGTTGTTACCAATGGACACTAGCAGAACACAAAAACCCACTATTGCACTCTTGAACACACTTATCAACACTTATCACTCTCATGGCCATATCTGATCATTAACCAAAACTTTCCACTGAACCTGACGAGACAGTTTCAACACAACGATAAAGTATTGGTGTTGTATTGAAGTTTTGAATATGTAACATGATCACCTGTGGGTCAAAGTTTCCCTTCCAGCTTGCTGTATTAAGAGTATTTAAAGGGCTTTAATAAGTGCTGTGGTATCAGGTCTGTGGTCAACCTCTCCAAAATGACAGTACTAGGGCTCTTGTGCTGTCTGGGACTGCTGCTGTCTCTGTCCTCTGCATTCACAGTAAGATCTCTCTCTCTCTTTCTCTCTCTCTCTCGCTCTATCTAATACATTTCCCATGAATGCGTGATTATGAAAAAAACATTCTCATCTCACTTTACAGATTAGGCGGATGTCAAAGGAGAAATGTGAGAACATGTATATATATTTTGTCCTATAATTAATCAAATCATGTGGTACATATACATTTGTAATGTATCCAATCCTTATGGTGCTCATGTCACATTGGTGAGCTATTTTACATAACAATACTTATTTTTAGTTCAAGACAGGTCTAAGAAAAAGTGTTCAAATGGGCTTGTAGCAAAAGTAAAATACATTCATCATCTAACATTGTGGCTCTTACTGTAGCCTTTGCCATTGATGCTGATGAGGTAATACGACGAGACATCCCCTTCGTCAACTCAGGTAAGTCTCTTTGTGCATGCTGGTATACAGTGGATGTATTTGATATCCTCTTTGTGATGTTTTAAAACTATCTTCCATGTCTATAATCTTTTATTTTCCATAGGATTGAAGACCCCTGTTGTCGAGGGCGACATTGCATTGAATGTACGTTTATACTGTATTAAACCTTTCATTGTCTGCAAGTATGTTCGCTGTCTTTCCAATTAGAAGAAAAAATAGGGCTTTCAATAAAAAAAATAAGTGTGCTAAATAGCCTGCACTCTATAAATGAAACTTTGACCTTTTTGCTATCTAGATTTCGATTAATGTGATTTCAATAAAGTTAACGATAGTACGTCCAGTCAATAATTAAGTATTGCAATAAAAGTTATATCACTCCATCAGCCTGGACGCAATGCCCTTGTGGATCCAGCCTTCAGGTGGAAATTCCCCATCCCTTACATACTGGCTGACAGCCTTGGTAAAAATGTGCACCATCTCTCATCCTAGTAACATGATATACACTGGTGATGAACCATGATTAAAGAAGACTAAACTATCGGTATTGTTACCTCTACCATTATAATCAATGCACATACAGATTATAATATTTATAGTCCGTTAATCCCTTGTTTGTCTTTCAGACCTGAATGCCAAGGGGGTCATTTTCCAGGCCTTTGAGATGTACCGGCTGAAATCCTGTGTGGATTTCAAACCCTATGAAGGAGAGAAGAGCTTTATCAAGTTTGAAAAGCTAGATGGGTATAGTTTGTTTTTCTGATATACGAGTCTGCTCCTCCACTCGATGCTTCTAATGATCATAGTCTTAACAGCCTTAGTTGAATCTTGTGTATTACTGGTTGGCTGGAACAAAGGTCTGCACCCACACTGGCACTATGTGGATAAGATCTGTCTCCCGTGTTCAAGAGGTAATTCACTGCTGTGGCATCATGGAATTGTTGCAGTTGCTGGTCTATGGTCGGAGACCTACAGACAGGCCAGCAGTTGTCATTGGGCCCATCCTGTGACTACAAAGGCACCATAATGCATGAGCTCCTCCACGCCCTGGGCTTTTACCACGAACAGTCTCGCACCGACCGAGATGACTATGTGGACATCTGGTGGGACCAGGTCCTGCCTGGTAAGGTCTAAGAGCTCAACACCCAAAACATTTTTGCATGGCAAGCCAAGCCTTATTTTAGAACTTACCACAACCTTTGTGTGTACATTCTACAGGTATGGACCACAATTTTGATAAATACGCTGATGATTTCATCACCGACCAGAACACGCCATACGACTACGAGTCTATCATGCATTACGGTCCATATTCCTTTAACAAAGACCCACGGTACCCAACCATCACAGCCAAGGACCCAGAGATGACCAAAGTGCTGGGCCAGTACAATGACTTCAGCAGCCTGGATCTACTGAGGCTCAACAGGATGTATAACTGCTGTGAGACCCTTTCTCATTAGGACCAGGAGTTTTTCCTGATCAGGTCACATGATCAGGAGGACCATCATTTTTTTCCTAATCACTTGATTTGACCAGAAAAAACTGCTGATGTTGTGTTTAACTTATGTTGTTTTTAGCTGATTATGTTTGCTTAGTGTGCCTGTGTATGATGTCTGTCCTGTAGCCTCCTCTCTGACGTTGTTGGATCAGTGTGCCTTTGAGACCGTCAACACCTGTGGGATGATCCAGAACCGTAACGATGATGGTGACTGGGTACGCACCAAGAGCCAGCCAGGGTCACATGACCACACTCTCATTGGCCAGTGCAAAGGTAGGGTTAACCTACAGTATTACTAGGGTCAGGAGCCCTGACATTGTCAGAAGAAAAACTCCTGCCCCTACACATCGCAAGGGTGAACACATAGGTTTATCAACCATTTTGAATGGCATACATTACTATTTTACTATAATACATTTATGATAACATCTTGTTTGTGATCTGTGTAGACGCAGGGTTCTTCATGAACTTTTACACTGACACCGGCCGGGCGGAAGACTCAGCTTTTCTGGAATCCAGGGTCCTGCACTCCAAGAGAAATCTGCAGTGTTTGCAGTTCTTCTACAAGATGACAGGAAGCCCCAAGGACAAGCTGGTGGTCTGGACCAGGAAGGAGGATGCTAAGGGCAAAGTCTTATCCCTTACTGCAGCTGGGAATTTCACAGGTAGGCTTGAGAAAAGTGGTGAACAGCCGTGCTCAATAATCTGATAAACCATGACTGTGCTATGTGTTGTAGCATCATAATATAGCTTCAACAGGTATTGTTTGAAAATGTTCAACCTTAAAAATGATGATTACCCTGCATCTCCCCCACATCTGTTTTCACAGGTGATGATGACCACTCCTGGAAGATTGCCCACGTTCCTTTAACGATGGACTCCAAGTTCCGCTATGCCTTCCAGGGGATCAGGGGCGACCCAGCAAACTCCTTGGGGGGGATCCAGGTGGATGACATCACCCTAGGTACGGTACTCTGTCTTAACATTTTAAGTAACTGTAAAACACTTTAGTGTGCAATGCATTATATGACAGGTGCTATCCGAATGAAGTTTATATTGTCATTATTGTTGTTGGAATTAGCGGAGACACGCTGCCCCAGTGGAACATGGCGTATCAAGAACTTCAGCCAGTACATGAAGAGTTACGCCACGGGAGAGTACATCCAGAGCCCACGTTTCTACAGCCCCGAGGGCTACGCCTTCGGAATCCAGCTGCTGCCCAACTCCTACTACGACGGGTACATCGGGGCCTTCTTCCACCTGAGCACCGGGGAGAACGACCAGGCCCTGGAGTGGCCGGCAGGGAACAGACAGGTCACTATCACACTGCTGGACCAGGACTCTGACGTCAGGCAGAGGCAGTCCTTCTCCTACAGCTTCACCACCAGTCCCACTCATCTCATCCCAGGTATGGGGCAGGCTAATGTTGGTTCAAAGGGGCACATAAAGAGAATTTCCTCACACTCAGATTATTGTGGCTATTAAAGCTTTTGGTCAAACAACTGTCATAGCAATACCAACATGTGTGTGAGTCAGCATAAAAAGACGTCTATACATCTATATCCGACAGGACATGGAAATCAATTCACTTCACATAATCTATATGTAGATTATCTGCTGATTTATAATACTCTCCCCACTCTTTCAGACTCCAACATGCTGTACTGGGACAACCCGTCCAAGATGGGGACGTACGACCCGTCCTGTGACTGTTATCATGGCTGGACCTGGGGCTGGAACGCCTACTTCTCCCACTACCACCTAAATAGGAGGAGCTACCTGAAGAATGATGACCTCATTCTCTTCGTTGAGTTTGAAGGTGCGTCTGACTCTACGTTCAAGGGCTCTGAGATATTTTTGACCACTTGAAACTGTATTAAACCTGTTCACTGTTGTTTGTATTTCCAGATCTTACTCCACTGATCAAAACTGAAGTTCCAATCAAGCTTCCAGTTCAGCTCCGGAGTCAGGACTGAGGTTGACCAGAACATTTATGCATTTTTAAATGTCAAATGTTCACTTTTCTTTTTATTTCAAACATTTACATAAAGGCGGTGGAAGTCAACATTAGCATGCCTATACAAGTAAATTATCAGTTGTCAGTTGCAATGTTAAACACTGTCCTGACAATCTGTCTGTGGCCTCCATCTTGAAACCGGTTTGTTTATTTGTAACCTGTAAAATGCAGCTTCATGCAGCTTTTAACTCATTAAAATCAAGCTATTCAAAGTATTGTCGTCTCTAATTTAGCCTTTTCACCAGTTAACCACCATTTGCCCTGCCACCCATAACCAGAATAAAATATAAGGATATACAGTGCGCTCCAAAAGTATTGGGACAGTGACAACGTTTTTTTGTTGTTTTAGCTCTGTACTCCAGCACTTTGTATTTGAAATGATATATGAGGTTAAAGTGCAGACTCTTTTTATTTTTTATTTTTTTAACACATACAATATATCACACTAACCAAACAACAACAAAAAAACACCACATGTAAACACATGACACAACAATGTTCTCTCTCTGTCACGTTCGTTGAAAGACGGGTCAGACCAAGGCGCAGCGTGATATGCATACATGTTTATTTTAACTGAATAAACACCACGACAAAACAATAAACGAAACGAAACGTGAAGTCCAAGGTAGTACAGAAAACAAACCTTACACGGAACAAGATCCCACAACTAGACAGGGCCAATAGGCTGCCTATGTATGGTCCCCAATCAGAGACAACGAGCGACAGCTGCCTCTGATTGGGAACCATATATTTGATATTTGTGCGTCTGTAACTTTCTCACTCATCATTACGTGAAGTCCAAGGTAATCTAAAATAATCTGAAACACAACCAAACCAAACAGCAAATGCATCCTACAAATGTGTATAGTCACAAGCTTGATGTAGTTGTTGCGTGCTATGAATATGGGACCAAATACTTAACTTTTTTACTACTTTAATACACATATAAGTGAATTTGTCCCAATACATTTGGTCCCCTAAAATGGGGGGGGGGGCTATGTACAAAAAGTGCTGTAATCTCTAAATGGTTCACCCGATATGGATGGAAATACCCTCAAATTAAAGCTGACAGACTGCACTTTAACCTCATAGTCATTGTATCATTTCAAATCCCCCCAAAAAATAATAAAACACTTTTCTTAAACTTTTGGAGCTCACTGTATGTTCAAACACACTGACACACTATTACCTGCTCTGCCTGTCATTCATAACATCATGTATCTCAGGATATATTAAGACTAGTAAATACATAAACCTGGAGGAAACACAACTGCAATTAATACACTATTTGTTTTATATTTAAATCATTTAGAAATAAGTTTAAACTTAAGAAACTTAAACCTGCATGCTAAAGTGCATGTCAGAAACTCAATCGAAAACACTAAATCATGTTTGAAACTGTTGCTGACATAGTACCAATACATTATTTCAAAACACAATAACATATTTATCTGCTAAGGTTACAAGATAAGATCAGTGAAGATAATGACATGACAAGGCACATCTGACTGAACGTCAAAGTGAGAGAGAGATGTCATGGTCGTGTGAAGTTCACATTACTCATTACAGTCATTACAAACAGATGTTGGATCTTAATTTGAACCAGTTTGTTACAGCAGGAAAATAATCCTGCAGCAACAGAAAATGTGAATTATTATGTGGATTATAATGAATGGACATTTTTGTAGGGATTGATACATTTTCATTAGGGCAAATCAAGTCTGATATTTTAAAGTGGAATACACTATAAGTTTGCATTTCAAATTCAGATCCTACATCTGTATAGATCAAGTTCCACCCAGACACTGACTTTATTGGTCTGTTTACAATAGCAGATGAACACATATCCAACTCCTCTAGATTAAACATGGGCTCTGTCTATGCACCATGGAGGATCACCACTTTCATCGCAATTCTGGTTGTGTTCAAGGTAGGGCACACATCCTGTGTTATTGAATGGAATTGACTTCATTATAATAATTGTACATTTTATCAATTATATGTTGTGAGTCAAGCAGTGTCTCTTTTTGTTGTAGGTGCAAGCTGTTCCGACACTTTATGGTAAGTTCTAGATCGTCACGTGCATAAGGGTGTATGTGTGATAATGCTCTGTGTTCTTACAGAATGGTTTCTCTGTTGAATTATTAGGTGGTGATGCAGATGCAGGTGAATTGCGAGAGGATATACTCGATATCAATTCAGGTAATTAGCTCTACACTCTGTTAAACTGTAACATTACTGAAGTTATATAATAATATGTGCAATAATCTCACAAATCTGGCAATACAATTTTTTACTGAGAGTGATTGATTTTATTATTTTCTGATATTTCAGAAGCAGATCTAAACCTGTTTGAGGGAGACATTGCAGGTGATGTAAGGACACTTCTCTTCATAGCCTTATTATATGTAATAGTTGACTAAATATAAATCAGTTAGCCTACTTCATTTATTTTATGGATTTTGCAGCCAAGGCGAAATGCAATCCTGGATGAAAGGAGAAGATGGAAGTTTCCCATTCCTTACATTTTGACAGATTCGTTGGGTATGTAGGCTCTACCAACCATGTCTCAATGCTGAATGAAATACAATTGTTGACAACATTCTGAAAACTAGTTCATATTCATTCCCTCAGAGCTGAATGCAAAAGGTGTTATTCAGCAGGCATTCGAAGCATACCGCCTGAAATCCTGTGTGGACTTCAAGCCCTACGAGGGAGAAAGCACATATATCTCCTTCACAAAGCTGAGTGGGTGAGTTCAGCCAAATACACTGTAATGCCATGAGCTCTTGCTTAACTTTATGGACTGTCTGTCCTTCCAAAGCATAAAATGCAAGGTTTTATGGAGAGCACAGATTAGAAAATGCTTATCTAAGGAAATTACATTCATTATAGTGTTCTATGCATCTACAGATTCCAAACCTGCAATAAACGGTGACCCCTCTTTTAGTGTAAAGTCGATGAATGTCCTAAAGCATTTTGTTGAATACAGTCCTTCATGTCACCATTGTTATGATGAGGTACAGTATATATTTTGTGTGGACCACAGTACAGTAATGTTATGGTGAAATATGAAGTAAGATGTACTATTGTGAATCAGTTTTCTCCACAGAACAAATGAGGAAACATTGTGTAGTAGATTGTTCATATTTTTCCTTTAGTTTAGCAAATTTTTCTTACTTACTTTTTAAAAACTCTGCATTGTTGGTTAAGGGCTTCTTGGTTAAGAGAATCATGTATGGATCATTTAGCTATTTGATCTGGAATTTTAGGACCCCTTTAGGTATAAAATAAATATATAAAAAAGTATTAATAACATATGAAATTTGGCCTTTCTACTATAGCCCATAGAAACACATTGGAAAACACATTCATAAATGGCAAAAAAGACAGTCAAAAAAGTAATAATAAGAAACAAGGTTTTTAAGTGTCTGTCCTATATCTAGGAGCTCAGGAAATATTTGTGTGTTTTTTTTTTTAACACATATTTAACCCTTTTTTTGGGTGGTAGGCAGAAAACATTATTTTAAACTGGTACCGGTTACCTTCAAACGAGTCCCTTGACACTTGTTCTGTGACACTTGTGGGGGTTGTAGCAAAACGAGAGAACATCATTGTGTTCGTGAGAATCTCCCCTTTCCACAGTGGGGTCACATTAGTTTATAGCCCTAACGGTTTGGACACTACCAAACAGAAGTTTGCACATCAACAGCACCAACTTCAGATGAGTCCTCTGACACTTGTGGGAGTCATAATTGCTATATAACAGGCCAAACTGTTCAGACACTACATGCGTTTTCGTGAGAAGACCGATTATCGGGATGTCTCATGGTTTGACAAACACCTTTCACCGCAACATCGGCGGATGATGTGGATTGAGAAACAGCCAATTAAAAAAAAACAGATATCTCTAGCTTAAATTGACTGATTTTGATGGGGTTTTCTTTATTATTTTACTTACCGGTGCGTCAATTGACTCGTAGGGGTAAATAAGTAAGCATTTCACGGTATGTGACAAACAACATTTGATTTGATTTAATTTGAATTGATTTTGTGTTTACTCTGGTGTCATAATGCGTAATCCTGTCTGTGACGGCCACAGATGCTGGTCATTTGTAGGAGATGATAAGGTAGGACAGAACCTCTCCATAGGGGCGCGCTGTGACACTAAGGCCATCGTGGAACATGAGCTCCTCCACGCTCTGGGCTTCTACCATGAGCAGTCACGCTCTGACAGAGACGACTACGTCAAGATCTGGTGGGACCAAATCATAGAAGGTGGGTGTGATGGAATTAGGCATAGACGGTGGCAGATACAGTATCAGTTGTGTATCAAATCAAATCAAAGGTTATTGGTGGTGTACATAGATTTGCAGATGTTATCGCAGGTGCAGCGAAATGCTTGTGTTTCTAGCTCCAACATTGCAGTAATATAGTGGCTTGCGAAAGTATTCACCCCCCTTGGCATTTTTCCTATTTTGTTGCCTTACAACCTGGAATTAAATTTGATTTTTGGGGGGTTTGTATCATTTGATTTACACAACATGCCTACCACTTTGAAGATGCAAAATAAAAACATTTGTGGAACAAACAAGAAATAAGACAAAAAAACAGAAAACTTGAGCGTGCATAACTATTCACCCCCCCCCAAAGTCAATACTTTGTAGAGCCACCTTTTGCAGCAATTACAGCTGCAAGTCTCTTGGGGTATGTTTCTATAAGCTTGGCACATCTAGCCACTGGGATTCTTGCCCATTCTTCAAGGCAAAACTGCTCCAGCTCCTTCAAGTTAGATGGGTTCCGCTGGTGTAGAGCAATCTTTAAGTCATACCACATATTCTCAATTGGATTGAGGTCTGGGCTTTGACTAGGCCATTCCAAGACATTTAAATGTTTCCCCTTAAACCACTCGAGTGTTGCTTTAGCAGTATGCTTAGGGTCATTGTCCTGCTGGAATGTGAACCTCCGTCCCAGTCTCAAATCTCTGGAAGACTGAAACAGGTTTCCCTCAAGAATTTCCCTGTATTTAGCGCCATCCATCATTCCTTCAATTCTGACCAGTTTCCCAGTCCCTGCCAATGAAAAACATCCTCGGGGTGATGAGAGGTGTTGGGTTTGCGCCAGACATTGCGTTTTCCTTGATAGCCAAAAAGCTCAATTTACATTTCATCTGACCAGAGTACCTTCTTCCATATGTTTGGGGAGTCTCCCACATGCCTTTTGACGAACACCAAATGTGTTTGCTTAGTTTTTTCTTTAAACAATGGCTTTTTTCTGGCCACTCTTCCGTAAAGCCCAGCTCTGTGGCGTGTACGGCTTAAAGTGGTCCTATGGACAGATACTCCAATCTCCGCTGTGGAGCTTTGCAGCTCCTTCAGGGTTATCTTTGGTCTCTTTGTTGCCTCTCTGATTAATGCCCTCCTTGCCTAGGCCATGAGTTTTGGTGGGCGGCCCTCTCTTGGCAGTTTTATTGTGGTGCCATATTCTTTCCATTTTTTAATAATGGATTTAATGGTGCTCCGTGGGATGTTCAAAGTTTCTAATATTTTTTTATAACCCAACCCTGATCTTTACTTCTCCACAACTTTGTCCCTGACCTGTTTAGAGAGCTCCTTGGTCTTCATGGTGCCGCTTGCTTGGTGGTGCCCCTTGTTTAGTGGTGTTGCAGACTCCGGGTGTCACGGTTTCGGCCGAGGCTGCTCCTCCTCCTTGTTCGGGCAGGCCTCGGCGTTCGCCGTCCCCGGAGTATTAGCTGCCACCGCTCTATGTTTCTGTGTTTGATTGCTTTTGTCTGTCTGTCACACCTGTGTCTGTTTGATTGTTGATTAGGTGTCTTATAAGTTCCTTGTTTTGCTCTTTGGTAATTGTGTGTTGTTATTTTTCCGTTGCCTTTTGTGTATGATACGTGTTTGTTTTTTCCGTATCATTGTTCTACGTTTAGTGTTTTACGCGTGTGCGTAATGATCCCTCGCCTCGTAGTGTTATTCGAGGTCGGGGTTTACACTATTGCTTTTAAGACTATTAAAAGTCTTGTTGGACTAAACCTCTGCTTCCTGCGCTTGACTCCTCCACCACATCCACGACGGTTTCTTGACACCGGGTGCATTTCAGAACAGGTGTACATATACTGAGATCATGTGACAGATCATATGACACTTAGATTACACACAGGTGGACTTTATTTAACTAATTATGTGACTTCTGAAGGTAATTGGTTGCACCAGATCTTATTTAGGGGCTTCATAGCAAAGGGGGTGAAAACATACTGTCACGGATGCCGCCGAGGCTGCTCCTCCTCCTTGCTCGGGCAGGCTTCGGCGTTCGTCGTCCCCGGAGTACTAGCTACTGCCGCTCGATGTTTCGATGTTTGTCTTGTATTGTCTAGTTGGTACACCTGTTTCGTATTCTGTATTGATTATGTACCATATAAGTTCCCTCGTTTTATGTTTGCCTTTGTGTGTTATTGTCCGCGTCTCTTGTATGTATGTTCGGCATTGACCATCTTGTTTATTACGCACTCCGCATACATTTCTCCTCTTGTGTTTGGAGGCTTTTGTTTTGTGTGTATTTTACTTTGGAAAGTAAAGTAGTCGTTACTGATCCTCTGTGTCCTGCGCCTGACTTCACCGCAGCATACACCTCAGCATTGACACATACGCACGCACCACTTTTCTGTTATTTATTTTTTAGAATTTTAGAATAGTTTTTTTAGAATATTTTTTTTCATTCCACTTCACCAATTTGGACTATTTTGTGTATGTCCATTACATGAAATCCAAATAAAAATCAATTTTAAATTACAGGTTGTAATGCAACAAAATAGGAAAAACGCCAAGGGGGATGAATCCTTTTGCAAGGCACTGTACTTAGCAATAATAAGAAAAGAAAACACAATCCACACAAAGAAATAAGAGCAACTGTACTAGGAGAAGTGATTTACAAGCTTCTAACAATTTTGAATAACACATTCTGTAACCTACATACAGTGGGGAGAACAAGTATTTGATACACTGCCGATTTTGCAGGTTTTGCTACTTACAAAGCATGTAGAGGTCTGTAATTTTTATCATAGGTACACATCAACTGTGAGAGACGGAATCTAAAACAAAAATCCAGAAAATCACATTGTATGATTTTTAAGTAATTAATTTGCATTTTATTGCATGACATAAGTATTTGATACATCAGAAAAGCAGAACTTAATATTTGGTACAGAAACCTTTGTTTGCAATTACAGAGATCATACGTTTCCTGTAGGTCTTGACCAGGTTTGCACACACTGCAGAAGGGATTTTGGCCCACTCCTCCATACAGACCTTCTCCAGATCCTTCAGGTTTTGGGGCTGTCGCTGGGCAATACGGACTTTCAGCTCCCTCCAAAGATTTTCTATTGTGTTCAGGTCTGGAGACTGGCTAAGCCACTCCAGGACCTTGAGATGCTTCTTACGGAGCCACTCCTTAGTTGCCCTGGCTGTGTGTTTTGGGTCGTTGTCATGCTGGAAGACCCAGCCACGACCCATCTTCAATGCTCTTACTGAGGGAAGGAGGTTGTTGGCCAAGATCTCGCGATACATGGCCCCATCCATCCTCCCCTCAATACGGTGCAGTCGTCCTGTCCCCTTTGCAGAAAAGCATCCCCAAAGAATGATGTTTCCACCTCCATGCTTCACGGTTGGGATGGTGTTCTTGGGGTTGTACTCATCTTTCTTCTTCCTCCAAACACGGCGAGTGGAGTTTAGACCAAAAAGCTCTATTTTTGTCTCATCAGACCACATGCCCTTCTCCCATTCCTCCTCTGGATAATCCAGATGGTCATTGGCAAACTTCAGACGGGCCTGGACATGCGCTGGCTTGAGCAGGGGGACCTTGCGTGCGCTGCAGGATTTTAATCCATGACGGCGTAGTGTGTTACTAATGGTTTTCTTTGAGACTGTGGTCCCAGCTCTCTTCAGGTCATTGACCAGGTCTTGCCGTGTAGTTCTGGGCTGATCCCTCACCTTCCTCATGATCATTGATGCCCCACGAGGTGAGATCTTGCATGGAGCCCCAGACCGAGAGTGATTGACCGTCATCTTGAACTTCTTCCGTTTTCTAATAATTGCGCCAACAGTTGTTGCCTTCTCACCAAGCTGCTTGCCTATTGTCCTGTAGCCCATCCCAGCCTTGTGTAGGTCTACACTTTTATCCCTGATGTCCTTACACAGCTCTCTGGTCTTGGCCATTGTGGAGAGGTTGGAGTCTGTTTGATTGAATGTGTGGACAGGTGTCTTTTATACAGGTAACGAGTTCAAACAGGTGCAGTTAATACAGGTAATGAGTGGAGAACAGGAGGGCTTCTTAAAGAAAAACGAACAGGTCTGTGAGAGCCGGAATTCTTACTGGTTGGTAGGTGATCAAATAGTTATGTCATGCAATAAAATGCAAATTCATTACTTAAAAATCATACAATGTGATTTTCTGGATTTTTGTTTTAGATTCGTGCTTTGTAAGTGGGAAAACCTGCAAAATCGGCAGTGTATCAAATACTTGTTCTCCCCACTGTATCTACAGGAAAGGAGCACAACTTCAACAAGTATGAGGACGACTTCATCACAGACCTGAACACGCCGTATGACTATGAGTCCGTCATGCACTACAGGCCATTGTCTTTCAACAAGAACGCCACCATCCCTACCATCACCACAGCCATCCCAGCGTTCAATGAGATCATCGGACAGCGTCTGGACTTCAGTGCAGTAGACCTGCTCAGGCTGAACCGCATGTACGACTGCAGTAAGTGACCCAGATAGAATGACCTATATGATCAAACTGCAAGAGCCATCAACTTTGCTCAGTAGCATCAAATAAAGTGTAAGGAAATTATGATGAACAACCACAGCCTTAGACATTCTGATAGAGATTTGATGATGATGATTATGAATGTTAGCTAACAGAGTTTCTATTTTTGCAGCCAATACACACACTCTCCTGGACCAGTGTTCCTTTGAGCTGATCAACATCTGTGGTATGATCCAGGGTGAGACTGACCAGGCAGACTGGGTCCAGACCCTGAGCAGCGCTGAGGAGACAGACCACACACTGGCAGGCCGCTGCAGAGGTACCTACTACATACACACATGGACAAAATCTTTCACATCCTTCATCCTTCCACATGATGTTATCAATCAGAAATCATTGGTTAATTATTTGTACTGTACCTATGACCCTCTCTGTAGATGCTGGCTATTTCATGAGGTTTGACACATCTAAAGCGACAGTGGGGAAAAGTGCTCTTCTAGAGTCACGCATCCTCTACCCTAAGAGGAGCGAGCAGTGTCTGCAGTTCTTCTACAAGATGATTGGCCCCCCCGGGGACAGGCTGTTAGTGTGGGTCAGAACTGATGATGGGACGGGAAATGTCTGCAGTGTCAAGAAGGTCCACACCATCACAGGTACTGTTCAGGATAACCCCACTTTCAACGAAAGACATAAATATGTTACACATATGGTTTGTAGAGTTTTGATGGTGTCTGTGTTGCATGTTACTCCCGGAGTATAGGAAGATGATCAGGAAGCTGATCAGGTGTCTTATTTCCTCAGGTGATGGAGATGATGCCTGGAACGTAGCCCACGTGACCCTGAAGGTCAAAGAGAGGTTCCGCTACTTCTTCCAGGGCGTGGTAGGGTCCAACAACAATACAGCGGGGGCCATCTTGATCGATGACATCACATTAACAGAAACCACGTGCCCCAGCGGTGTTTGGAGAATTCAGAACTTCACTGGCCTGCTCGCCACAACGCCAGCCGGAGGGCATATCAGGAGCAAGCCGTTCTACAGCGCTGAGGGTTACGCTTACGGGATCAGCCTCTACCCCAAGGGAAGAGACGGCACATATCCTGACTATGTGGGCGTGACCTTCCATCTATGCAGCGGGGAGAACGACGGTGTGATGGAGTGGCCAGTGATCAACAGGCAGGCCACTGTCACTGCCATGGACCAGGACCCCGACGCTAAGCTGAGGATGTCTGCCACCAGAAGCTTCACCACCGGTCAGTTAATGTAATCATGTGTTTATGAGTTCCTTATGTAAAATATGTCTTGCATCGCATACAAACAGGCACAGTATTGTTCAGTATTTACTGACTCGTTGTGAAAATCTACATGTTTGTCTGATCTTAGTCCACCATAAAATATAATATCAATGTATACACCAGGCAATCCTTTGATACATGTAAAATGATTGGCTTTGTAACATGTTAATACCATAATTGTTTTCTTCTCCAGATACTACTAACCCATATTGGGTCAAGCCCACCAGCACCAGTGGGGCGGAGTGGGACGCGAGCTGCAACTGCTATAGAGGATCTGAGTATGGATGGACTACGTTCCTCTCTCATGACCAGCTGCACAGGAAAAGCTTTCTCAAGAACGATGATCTCATCATTATTGCCGACTTTGACGGTGAGGGCCTGCACAGCAAACTTGACAACATCAGTTTATTTGCTCCACATACAAAATATTGAGACACACACTACCGGTCAAAAGTTTTAGAACACCTACTCATTCAAGGGTTTTTCTTAATTTTTTACTATTGTCTACGTTGTAGAATAATAGTGAAGATATCAAAACTATGAAATAACATATGTGGAATCATGTAGTAACAAAAAAGTGTTAAACAAATCAAAATATATTTTATAATTGAGATTCTTCAAATAGCCACCCTTTGCCTTGATGACAGCTTTGCACACTCTTGGCATTCTCTCAACCAGCTTAATGAGGTAGTGACCTGGAATCCATTTCACTTAACAGATGTGCCTTCTTAATGAATTTGAGCCAATCAGTTTTGTTGTGACAAGGTAGGGGGGTATACAGAAGATAGCCCTATTTGGTAAAAGTCCAAGTCCATATTATGTCAAGAACAGCTCAAATAAGCAAAGAGAAACGACAGTCCATCATTACTTTAAGACATGAAGGTCAGTCAATACGGAACATTTCAAGAACTTTGAAAGTTTCTTCAAGTGCAGTCACAAAAACCATCAAGCGCTATGATGAAACTGGCTCTCATGAGTACCGCCACAGGAATGGAAGACCCAGAGTTACCTCTGCTGCAGAGGATAAGTTCATTAGAGTTACCAGCCTCAGAAATTGCAGCCCAAATAAATGCTTCACAGAGTTCAAGTAACAGACACATCTCAACATCAACTATTGAGAGGAGACTGCATGAATCAGGCCTTCATGGTCGAATTGCTGCAAAGAAACCACTACTAAAGGACACCAATAAGAAGAAGAGACTTGCTTGGGCCAAGAAACACGAGCAATGGACATTATAACGGTGGAAATTTGTCCGTTGGTCTGGAGTCCAAATTGGAGATTTTTGGTTCCAACCGCCGTGTCTTTGTGAGACGCTGTGTGGGTGAACGGATGATCTCCGCATGTGTATTTCCCCACCGTAAAGCATAGAGGATGAGGTGTTATTGTGTGGGGGTGCTTTGCTGGTGACACTGTCTGTGATTTATTTAGAATTCAAGGCACACTTAACCAGCAAGGCTACCACAGCATTCTGCAGCGATAGGCCATCCCATCTGGTTTGGGCTTTGTGGGACTATCATTTGTTTTTCAACAGGATAATGACCTAACACACCTCCAGGCTGTGTAAGGGCTATTTTACCAAGAAGGAGAGTGATGGAGTGCTGCATCAGATGACCTGGCCTCCACAATCCCCCGACCTCAACCCAATTGAGATGGTTTGGGATGAGTCGGACCGCAGAGTGAAGGAAAAGCAGCCAACAAGTGCTCAGCATATGTGGGAACACCTTCAAGACTGTTGGAAAAGCATTCCAGGTGAAGCTGGTTGAGAGAATGCCAAGAATGTGCAAAGCTGTCATCAAGGCAAAGGGTGGCTATTTGAAATTTAAAATATATTTTGATTTGTATAACACTTTTGTGGTTGCTACATGATTCCATATGTGTTTTTTCATAGTTGTGATGTCTTCACTATTGTTCTACAATGTAGAAAATAGTAAAAATAAAGAAAAACCCTTGAATGAGTATGTGTTCTAAAACCTTTGACCGGTAGTGTATTTTGATTTGTTTAACACCTTTTTGGTTAATACATTATTCTATATGTATTATTTTATAGTTTTGATGTCTTCACTATTGTTCTACAATGTAGAAAATAGTAAAAATAAAGAAAAACACTTGAATGAGTAGGTGTTCTAAAACTTTTGACCGGTAGTCTATACTGTAGTTCTATATAGTGTATTGTTATGTGATGATTTGAACGGTTTGTTTTGTGATGATTTTAACTGTTTCGGACTGTTACTATTTAACCTAACCCACGTCACCCTAAAACTGTGCAAGGCAATCAATTGACATGGTCACTTTACAGAAAGAGACATAGTAGAGTTGAATAATTTAGCAGCTGGATTGTTACCACACAAGACATAAAAAACAACAACATTCTCTCTCCTAACGCTAAACAATTATTCTTTGTGGATGTGTTCCAGATTTGACCCACCTGGTGAAGACGGAGGTCCCTGTCCAACCAAAGAGTCCCAGTGATGACCTCCCAGAGGAGGAGACCCCCAGACAGGAGGAGGAGATGGCTGACGGTCCCAAACACAGACAGGCACGGGCCGCCCCTAGTGACCCGTGTAGCCCCGACCCCTGCCTCAACGGGGGAGTGTGTGTGGTTGAGAAACACGGGAAAGCCACGTGCAGGTGTGTTTATAAGTATGACTTTCACAACCTCATATCAACACCTAGTGGTCGATTCAATCCGTATAGCGGAAGTTCAGCGCTATAGCGTGATTGAAATTTAAAGACAATCTTCCCATGTTTGCAGAGACTACATTTACGGTAAACGCTGCAAATGTCGGCTCAATCGGAAATGATCTTTAAATATTAATTGTGCTATAGCGCTGAACTTCAGCGATACAGATTGAATGGAGCTCCTACTGTAGTTACTGTGTGACAAACCATACACACATTTCCTTTCCTTTTTTTCATACACACATTTCCATTCCAAAAACTGCCCGATCTTTGTCTGTGTTGACTGATTCTGTAATTGGGCATTTTGACAAGGGCACATCACATCTGGGTCACTACTTGTAGTTCTGGTTGAGTTTTTCAGGGCTTGATAAGTGCAATTTACAGTACGTTATAATTTTTACATGCTCCCTGCATTTCTACTAATTTTTGCTTCCATGAAAGCACAGTACAATATGTTATAGGAGACAAAGAGTGAGTATGTGTTTCACCGTTATTACTGACTCATAATTGCTGTTATTCTCACAAAGGTGTGCCTCTGGCCAGGCCACATACTATGCTGGTGAGACGTGTGAGAAGCAGCATATCGATGGCAGCATTCTGGGCATTCTGATTGGTGGAGCTGCAGGTACGATCGTTCTGACTCTGGCAATTTTCTCAGTCATCCGGAGAAGTCACTGAGTCACCACACTGCATCACAGCTATACTCATGTACCACCTCAATCCCAATGCCTCTCTAAGAAACAGTGATAGTAGAGTGCCACGCCTATTGTATACTTGATATCATTTGTTTGAATCAATAAGAACTCTGTGACCATGGCCGGTATTCAATCAATTAATTGCAGATAGTGACTTTTCAGAGGCCAGGTCCCTCTCCAAAATGTATCAACTGTATGTGAAATTATATATTAGTGACTTATGTTTATGTTAGGTTTGGACCTTTGTAATTGTACATAACATGAACTAAAACAACATTGTGGCAATTTGCTCAAGAATGAAATAATTGCTTCTGTGAGATTTATGTTTCTTTATTTTATTGATTATTAGATGATTGCAAGAGCACACACACACATACAGATAACAATGTAAAATTGTAATAAAATTAACATAGGGCTAATTTGGACTGCAGAAGATCCATGTTATAGCGTGATTGACATTTAAAGGCAATTTCCGATTGGATTGACATTTGCAGCGTTTACCGTGAATGCAGTCTCTGAGAAACGTGGGAACACTGCCTTTAAATGTCAATCGCACTCTGGATTGAATCTAGGCCATAGACTAATGGAGTTACTACCCTTCCCTAATAAAGCTAGTTAATCTAGGGGCTCTATTCAATCCATAGCACTGAAGATCCGCTGTATAGCGCAATTGACAATTAAAGGCAACGTTCCCGCGGTTACAGAGACTGCATTCATGGTAAATGCTGCATATGTCAACTCAATTGGAAATTACCTTTACATTTTTATGCGGATCTTCCACGATACTTTGTCGATATGGATTTAATCCAGCCCTAGGTTTCTCATTCTAATACATAAATGCATTTTCTCTACAGCCACAAATGATGCTGCAATATTCATATCAATCAATTGGTGGAGGTGGGTTTAGATGAAAAAATAATTATGCCGGGATTCAATCAAGGCACGTTGTCTATCAAGTGCACAGCACTTGAATGGCATTTTCCAGGTAATTTCTGCTTGAGCCGATATCTGCAGTGTTTACCGTGAATGCAATCTCTGCAAATGTTGGGGAAATAGCCTTTAAAAGGCACTTTGTCAGTATGCAATGTGTTTGTCTACAACAAGCCTCTGATTGAATTCCGGCCTTCCTTTATTACAATAACTTTGATTGACACTTTTAATCTACAGTCATAATTAATGCAAGTACAGAAAAACTCAATAAATTAAATCAAAAGTAATAATAACCAAATGCCATTGACCAACATAGCAGTAATTGTATGACATCTCTTTTGACATCATAGCATGCTACAGTACTGTTTGTAGAAAATAGGCTTATAAAAGTTTACAGGAAATCACAAAGATGTGTTTAGCAATTGATTAATGTGTAGGAGTTCAGTTATTAATATGAAACATGATAGGTAATTGACATAATATAATTAATTCATGATAAGACCTGTCTAAATACCACCTAAACCTCAGCCATCCCTGTATTTGAGGAACCAACCAGGTGGATGTTTCTCTCTGGGTGAGAGTAGTGGCAGACACATGGATTGGTCCTGATCCAGTATATAGATAGTTTTCTGAGGCAGAAAACATATGATGAGTACATTGTCCCTCAATCCCCAATCGTGCAAACCCTTGGAGTGTGCAGGCTTTTGTTACAGCCCAGTGCTAACATGCCTGATTTAACTAATCAAGGGCTTGAAGAGTTAAGTGTTAATTGCATTAATGAAATTACATGTGTTTAGCAGCAGACATGTGCGTGTCTTGTATCAAGACTGTACAAACCTCGATGTTCATCACTTATTTGAAGTGGTTTTCATATTCTCACATTTCTCTTTGGTAGTAGGTGCCTGGTGAGAGAGGTGGGCAGATTTAGAGCTGAGCTTTCAGTAACACATGACATTACGTTGCTTTTCTGTATAGTAACACTATAATTACACTGGCATTACAACGTTGGTACATAGTACTTTATTTTGCTTTGCTTTCTAACTACAAAGGAATAGAGCTGGGCGTTTTTTGTTATTAAACAGTCTTTATAAACTGGGTGGTTCGAGCCCTGAATGCTGATTGGCTGATTGGTATAATAATAATAATAATATGCCATTTAGCAGACGCTTGTATCCAAAGCGACTTACAGTCATGTGTGCATACATTTTTACGTATGGGTGGTCCCGGGGATCGAACCCACTACCCTGGCGTTACAAGCGCCATACTCTACCAATTGAGCTACAGAGGTACCACGGGTATGACAAAACATGTATTTTTACTGCTCAAATTACATTGGTAACCGGTTTATAATAGCAATAAAGCACCTCGGGGGTTTGTGATATATGGTCAATATACCACGGCTAAGGCTGTGTCCAGGCATTCCACGTTGCGTCGTGCATAAGAACAGCCTTTAGCCGTGGTATATTGGCCATGTACTACACCTCCTCAGGCCTTATTGCTTAAGTATTCAATTTGTGTAAAGCCATCCACTTCCATTACCATGTCATTACAAGACATTACCAAAGTACTATGGAAGTACAATGTTGTAACTAGCGTAATTATAGGATTCCTACACAGGTATAAGAGCAACTTGAAGAAAAATGTAACCACATTTCACTGCTCTATAATTGAATGGAAAGACAACAAAAGCAGAAATAAAAGAGCAGAACTCACCCAAGCCAAGTTCAACACCTCATCTCGCACCTTGTATTAACATGACAAAAAAGGAGTAGTGGTAAGTATACATAATATCTACACAGTTAGCATACATAATTCACTATTGTAACACTATTCAATTACATAAACTCCCTAAGGATTGACAAATACCCTTTTCTCTGCAAAACCTCCAGTCAGCAAAATGAAGAGGCCCTGAAAAACATTACACTATGAATACAATGGCAAAAACTGATTTCAGCTTCTTTCACTCAATAGTTTCAGACAGGAATATCTGTAATGGAAAATATATGAAAAAGTACCTGAAAGGAGTTTATGATGGAGAAAGCATAATTCACCACAACACCCATTGGTGCCCTGCTATCAATGCTCAGCACAAAGAATCCCAAAACCCATGTTATCCCAAAGACTGGCGTTAACAAGACCACCCCTTTCATGATGCTTTTGGCTGTCTCTTTCTCGTCGGATTTACTCCCATCAGAAACAGTGGACTTTAGGAGTGTCATGATGACAACACCCATGGAGAAGAAATTCATAAAAACAATCGTCCCGACGGGCAGAAGAAATGCGTGAATGGACCCCTTCAGAAGTCCCTCGTAAATGAGCCAGCAGGTTTCTGTGTCGTGGTAGGGTTTCCCTGTGTATTTGTAGTACACATAGGTAACCGACACGATCACTGTGGGACAGATGTAGCCGAGGACGGTGGACAGGAGCAGATACACCCTCTTCCTCAACGGGTGGAAGATGAAGATGAGCTGGTGTAGTAGCATGATGCTGAGGCATAGCATCCAGCAGAACATAGCCAGGAAGAAGAACTGCTTGGTCACGGTCAGGACGAGGCACCAGGTAGGAGTTTGGATGCTGGGGAAGTAGACAGCCAGCATACTGCAGTCGGCCAGTAACAGGCACAGAGAGATGTTGACCAGGGCCGTGTGGCGGAAGTGCGAGAGGTTGGACTTGACGACGGCCGACCACACCAGCGCCTCGATGATGAGGAAGATGAGGAGGGAGCAGATGGACACGCCGAGGCCCACGTAGGTGATCTCATCCAGAAAAAGCAGGGTCACCGGGGTCTTTGACATCAGCACTGAGAAGGAGGTCAGATGGGTGCACTCGCAATAGCTTCTATTGTTGACCATTTTCTTCCACTTGCAGCCTTCTTCAGACCATTCCATCAATGTGGTGTTCCAGAACACACAGAGGATGTTATAGTCTTGAGCCATTGACTTGGTGATGGGAAAGTCCAATTTGATGTTTGTTTTGGAGTCATTGCTGTTTTGCAGTGTGGCTGACACCACAATGCTAGGGAACTTATAGTCTGGGAAATTTGAATTGTTTAATTTGTCAGCTAGGTTTTTTACTCCCACAGTTTTCACTATTCCCGAGGACAGGGCCAATGTGACTTCTACGCCAAACACAGTTCCATTGCAAGATGTGTTGTTTTGACCATTGCAGAGTATCAGTTGTATATTTGGGGTGTCATTTCCGTCACTGGTATTCATTTTGATGTTATTCACTAGACCTTCGACAGACTGGAGGTATTTTGAGGACATGTCGTATTCAAGGGTTTTGTTGACTGTCTTCCAAGAGTTATTCAACATGTTGCTTGCTGCACCAAGAAATACCTGAAAAAATATATATACATTTATGTTTCTGTATGAGATATATTGTACAGAACTGTATAATTCTTAATTGGGGTATGGCTCACATCTAAAATGGAGTTATCCAGGTTGATGTTTGCTGATGCTTGCGACATGATATCCAGAACATTGATGGATGCACTCACATCAGCAACTGAGGTAGCATCCATGTTGTTCTTCAAACCAGAAAAGATTTGAAGAGCAACCTCCTGAGTGGCCCCAAGTCCCTCTTTAAAGTTCTGTGATGGTAAAACAAACATGGAATAGTAACTTTGTTTCTTATACCAACACATTCTATAGGCCCAGAGTATTTCAATGCAAGTCACACATCATTCCAGTGGCTGGATGTGTAGTTGAAGAATGTGAGATATCATATGACCAACCCGTGACTAATGTCATATTACTAAAATGCAGGAATGCAAACACTTTTACTGAAAATATAGGCATTCACCAAAACATAACCAATGTTCCATATCAACTTTACAGTATGAGAGTTGTATGAGTGCAGAAGGTGAAAGGCCATACTCACTGCTGCTAAATTGACAACTTTGTTTATTTCCTCATTGACACAGTTATCCAGCACATCCATCCATTCAGGCCCCCTGCATGTCCGCTCTTGGTACCCCACTTTATTCACCTCACATTCTCGGATGATAACAGTGACACCTTTTGGGGTTTTTGGCCATATGCGTTCTTCAGGACAAGCCTTGTCCTTGTCCTGAGCTGATTAAAAACAGCAGTAAAGAGTATTAATAAGAATTAAACCTCCACTTCATTGAGTGAACTTAATTAATCTTCTTAATCCCCTTCAGGATGTAAGGGGACTTTAACAAATCACTTAAGAAACACATTTGAGTGATAGTAATAAACTTGTATGGCTTTTCTTTTTTTTCTTTTTTTTTATGGACTCATGCAATCTAACATACCATATATCACTGGGATAGTTATGGATGCATTCTTGTTCTCATCCTTCTGGTTTTGAAATTTGACAATGACAACATTGGATGGGCTTGAAGGATTGCAACTTATCATCGGAGTTACGGTGTAGGTGGTCCCCGCTGGTGGTACTAGAATAGAATGTGGTTACACTTTATTTGGATAGTGAAGATTTTCCATCTGTAGATGCTCTACAGATGGTCATACTATCAACAAACTATCTGTTAATAAGCAACTGCTTATTTTTCTCAAGTTACTGCAACTTTATACATTTTGAGCACGATGAGAAATAAGGTTATACATAGTTCAAGACACAAGACTAAGAGTTCATAAGAGTACCTGGTTGAGTTTGGGGTTTATTTTGGTATGCCCAAGTGACGTTGTATTGCTCTGTGCTGTTCTCGATGGTTGCAGTGACTCTCACAGATCGAGAGTTTGTATCTTGGCAATCTACAGTCGGTGGGACACTCGACATGGTGATCTTATCTGGTAGCAGGGCTACCTTTAACTCTGCAGAGGCTGCGTGCACAATGGACCCTTCGGAAAATCCACACTTGTAAATCCCTTCAGAAGCATTAAGAGAGGGATAAAATAGATAATCATCATTCAAAAAGCAATACACATTATCATCAGTAGGCCTATTTCAGCATCAAACACAATTAGATGCAATATTTCCAATGACTTCATAAACAGGAAATAGAATCCTACACCCTCGACAAAGGTCTCCCAGACGCACCTGCCCAGTTCCCTGACAACTTTACAATTTGGACTGTGGTACGGTTGGGTGACATTTCATTGGGGAATGAGACGGTTATGCTGTTTCCATTGTTCAGATTAAATGTCTCATTTCCTTTGAACAGTTCCCAGTTCCATGAGCCATTTGTTTTCTCCTCAAATGTGCAGTTCAACGTCGGTGTTGAGAAGAATTGCACTGTGTCCATTGGATACTGAATGCTCACGAGTCCTGTGGAAAAGTAAAAACATACAGTATCAATACAATAAATAATACAGTACATCCTTACACGCTTTACATAATCATTACCAACATAACATAATCTATATTCATACCATAATCCTTGCCACATTTCTCAATATGATACTGTCTTTGCACTTGTTTGTATGGTCCGACGAAGGTCATCATAATACCGAAAGCTTAGCAAGTTAAACTCTGAAACTGCAACTGATTGGAGTGTGCAAAGACTCCATTTATCTATATATATAATATTTTCTCCTGTGCCTTATCTGAGCCTAATGCCCGGGTGTGTGTGGTTATCTACACATGGTCTTAATATCACTATGTGAAATGACTGTACTGTAATAGAGGGGGCATTTACCTGATGTTTCAACAGCTATTTTGCCAACAGTAGGTTCCAGGTCAGCTATTATTTTTGCAAGTGTATCAGTCAGAAATATGACACTGAGATGCACTTTGAAATCAACAATTTGGCCATCATTCCTTATGTGTCAGTATTGAGTTGCCAATGGGTGAAAGGGAGACAAAAACAGAAATGGATGTTGCATCTTTGGGGAGAAAAACAAGCACTCTTGCCAAATATTAAGGAATGAATAAATACGTCTAATAAATTTAGATTGTATTACCTCAGTCCAGATACATTGAGGCATCCAAACCCATGTAATTTTTGAAAACCATCTGTAAGCTAAGAGAAAAAGGAAACGTTATCATCAATATTAAATATAATGTGTATTCAGGTGTCACTTTAACTCATTATACATGTTGATAATTTTGATCAAAAACAAAACTACTATTTCAGCAGATTTGGAAAAAAAAATGTACCTGTTTTTTTATAGTATCAGTTAGATTATTTTTTGATCCCACTTGAACTGTTCCTTTAATGTGAACTATGTCAACAAAAACAAAAAATTATAATAGTGACAACATACAGTAACACTGCAACAATAACAATAACTACCTTAATAATAGCGGTGGTTGACAATTAGTAGAAATTACAGCAAAAATGTTACAATGAAGAACGAATCCTAATAATACTTTTGTAATAGTATTATCTAGGGCTAGGCTATTGATCATATAAAATAATGATAGTAGAAATAACAGTATCAACAATAGTACCTTTCACTTTGGGTATGCAGAGGGCTGGGTAATTAGAAATATTTGCGTTACAATATGAGTCATTGCAGCACTGGAACTTCCAACACACATCGTTACTCCAGATGTACTTTGATGAACAGTTACATGTAGAAGCATTCCCGACAATTTTACAGTCTACACAGAAACACACATTATCAATCAGGCTATGGATGAAACACTGATAGAGGAGCGTTTTTTAAAAACAAATTTTTCTTCATGAAACCATATTTGGTAGAAATAGCGATACTGTACCTGCTGTTAGTTCAAGCAGTTCAATAGTCATTGTTTTATTAGGTGTTGTTATTTCCTTGATTGCTGATAGAGCACCAGAGATGAACAATGTAGCATTGCTCTCTACCATGAACTCAGCCATGTAGGTATCTAAAACAATCAGTGACATAAAGGAAACATTTAGGCAAATACAGTGGGGGGAAAAAAGTATTTAGTCAGCCACCAATTGTGCAAGTTCTCCCACATAAAAAGTTGAGAGAGGCCTGTAATTTTCATCATAGGTACACGTCAACTATGACAGACAAAGTGAGAAATAAAAATCCAGAAAATCACATTGTAGGATTTTTAATGAATTTATTTGCAAATTATGTTGGAAAATAAGTATTTGGTCAATAACAAAAGTTTCTCAATACTTTGTTATATACCCTTTGTTGGCAATGACACAGGTCAAATGTTTTCTGTAAGTCTTCAGAAGGTTTTCACACACTGTTGCTGGTATTTTGGCCCATTCCTCCATGCAGATCTCCTCTAGAGCAGTGATGTTTTGGGGCTGTCGCTGGGCAACACGGACTTTCAACTCCCTCCAAAGATTTTCTATGGGGTTGAGATCTGGAGACTGGCTAGGCAACTCCAGGACCCTGAAATGCTTCTTACGAAGCCACTCCTTCGTTGCCCGGGCGGTGTGTTTGGGATCATTGTCATGCTGAAAGACCCAGCCACGTTTCATCTTCAATGCCCTTGCTGATGGAAGGAGGTTTTCACTCAAAATCTCATGATACATGGCCCCATTCATTCTTTCCTTTACACGGATCAGTCGTCCTGGTCCCTTTGCAGAAAAACAGCCCCAAAGCATGATGTTTCCACCCCCATGCTTCACAGTAGGTATGGTGTTCTTTGGATGCAATTCAGCATTCTTTGTCCTCCAAACACGACATGAGTTTTTACCAAAAAGTTCTATTTTGGTTTCATCTGACAATATGACATTCTCCCAATCCTCTTCTGGATCATCCAAATGCACTCTAGCAAACTTCAGACGGGCCTGGACATGTACTGGCTTAAGCAGGTGGACACGTCTGGCACTGCAGGATTTGAGTCCCTGGCGGCGTAGTGTGTTACTGATGGTAGGCTTTGTTACTTTGGTCCCAGCTCTCTGCAGGTCATTCACTAGGTCCCCCCGTGTGGTTCTGGGATTTTTGCTCACCGTTCTTGTGATCATTTTGACCCCACAGGGTGAGATCTTGATCCAGCCCCAGATCGAGGGAGATTATCAGTGGTCTTGTATGTCTTCCATTTCCTAATAATTGCTCCCACAGTTGATTTCTTCAAACCAAGCTGCTTACCTATTGCAGATTCAGTCTTCCCAGCCTGGTGCAGGTCTACAATTTTGTTTCTGGTGTCCTTTGACAGCTCTTTGGTCTTGGCCATAGTGGAGTTTGGAATGTGACAGGTGTCTTTTATAGTTCAAACAGGTGCCATTAATACAGGTAACGAGTGGAGGACAGAGGAGCCTCTTAAAGAAGAAGTTACAGGTCTGTGAGAGCCAGAAATCTTGCTTGTTTGTAGCTGACCAAATACTTATTTTCCAACATAATTTGCAAATAAATTCATTAAAAATCCTACAATGTGATTTTCTGGATTTTTTTTCCTCAATTTGTCTGTCATAGTTGACGTGTACCTATGATGAAAATTACAGACCTCTCTCATCTTTTTAAGTGGGAGAACTTGCACAATTGGTGGCTGACTAAATACTTTTTTCCCCCCACTGTAGGTATGAGAGCCTGTTCGACAACTGATTTAAATGATAAGGGCAGAGGGTCTTCAAGTGTGCATCTGCTTGTGTGAGCGAGTTAGTAATTTCACCTTTCCTCATGCGTTCCCTTTATGGTTATTTTCATAGAGAGTAAGCTGCTTGGTTTGTTATGCATTCAGACATAAATGTATAAATAACTCACCCACTGCTAAGGCCTGTGTCAACGAAGAGAGAGACACATTTTAATTAATCACTAAAGGAACATTATAAACTGGCTGATTTGAGCCCTGCATGCTGATTGGCTGACAGCCATGGTACATCAGACCGTATATGACAAAACTTTTATTTTTACTGCTCTAATTATGTTGGTAACCAGTTCATAATAGCAATAAGGCACCTCGGGGGTTTGTGATATATGGCCAATATACTATGGCTAAGGGCTGTGTCCAGGCATTCCGCATTGCATCGTGCATAAGGACAGCCCTTAGCCGTGGTATATTGGCCATATACCACACCCCCTCGGGCCTTATTGCTTAAATAACCACTATAATTAATCTGTGAGATAATATACATTCATTAGGCTACTTCCATTTCTGTATAACGTGTCTTGTTTTTATCTGTGCTATACTTGATTTACTTGGCTAACATCCATGGCTCCTGTGTAAATTGTCTTACTGGCTCATTTGAAATAGCATTACAATGTACTGCTTACCTGGTGGTAGTGGAATACCACACCACAGAGAAGTATTACAGCTCTGGCCCACATCGTTTGTCTGATGGAAGTAAAGAAGATGGACACTGCTTCAATAATTTGGACACATAACTTAATTATAATGTTCAGATCTTCGAGTGAAACAAAAAGTGAAGACATAACATCAATTTTCCTGATAGTCAATACCCATTGTTGTTGTATTTGTCTCATTTGAGTCTGTCTTTTTGTTGCTTTTTTTATTCTATTCAGATGTTATTATCCATCTCTGGGAATTGATTTCCTTTTATATTTCCCTGTGAGGTAGCTACTCATATAAATAATCAACTTCATAACCATTATTAACCTCTTATCTCATGAGCTGAGGTACACAAAGTCATAATATAACTAGACAAACTTTCCATTTTTTTCTCAAGCATCTACACACAATACCCCATAATGACAAAGTGAAAACATGTTTGTATAACATTTTGTTAATGTATTGAAAATGAAATACAGAAATATCTAATTTACATAAGTATTCACACCCCTGAGTCAATACATGTCTTTCTGGGTAAGTCTCGAAGAGTTTTGCACACCTGGATCAAACATTATTATTTAAAAAATTGCTAGACAGACATTTTCAAGTCTTGCCATTGATTTTCAAGGCGATTTAAGTCAAAACTCTAATTAGGCCACTCAGGAACATTCAATGTCGGCTTGGTAAGCAACTCCAGTGTATATTTGGCCTTGTGTTTTAGGTTATTGTCCTGCTGAAAGGTGAATTTGTCTCCCAATGTCTGTTGGAAAGCAGATTGAATCAGGTTCAAACATAACACTTGTATTCAGGACATAAAGTTAATTTCTTTGCCACATTTTTTGCAGTTTTACTTTAATGCCTTATTGCAAACAGGAGGCATGTTTTGGAATAGTTTTATTTTATACAGGCTTCCTTCTTTTCACTCTTTCATTTCGGTTAGTATTGTGGAGTAACTACAATGTTGTTCTTCCATCACAGCCATTAAACTCTGCAACTGTTTTAAAGTCACCGTTGGCCTCATGGTGAAATCCCTGAACGGTTTCCTTCCTCTCCGGCAACTGGGTTAGGAAGGACGCTTGTATATTTGTAGAGACTGAGTGTATTGATTCACCATCCAAAGTGTAATAACTTAATAACTTCACCATGCTCAAAGGGATATTCAATGTCTGCTTTTTTTTCTATCAATAGGTGCCCTTATTTGCGACGCATTGTAAAACCTCCCTGGTCTTTGTGGTTTAATTTGTGTTTGAAATACAATGCTCGACTGAGGGATCTTACAGATAATTGTATGTGTGGGGTACAGAGATGAGGTAGTCATTCAAAAAATCATGTTAAACACTACGTTTACACACAGAGTGAGTCCATGCAACTTAATATGTGACTTGTTAAGCACATTTTTACTCCTGAACTTATTTATGCTTGCATAACAAAGGGGTTGAATACTTATTGACTTCATTTTTTATTAATTTGTAAAAATGTTGAAAAACATAATTCCACTTTGACATTATTGTATGTAGGCCAGTGACATAAAATCTCAATTTTATGAATTTTTAATACAGACTGTAACAAAACAAAATGTGGAAAAAGTAAAGGGGTGTGAATACTTTCTGAAGGCACTGTAGATATTGATAAAAACTATTCTAAAAATATAACTGCAATAGAGCATGCAGGTAAAAATGATGATGATGTGTGTAGTTTTGGTTCAACTCTGTTTATTAACACCTACACTGGGGTTATTTTACACCACTGAGGGTTATTGTACTTCTTTACAGTGTTTAGTTAACTCTTGAATCAACAGTAGAAATGTTACACTGGAAAATCAACACTAGTTAACACTGGCCAATTTGCTGTGTGCTGTGAAAGGGACACATCTGCAGGCTTCCATACAATTCTGAGGAAGAACCATGAAAGAATCTTCATTTTTTTCAGTGTAAACCGGCATGGCACACATAATTGCATATGGTTATTAACTAAAGAATATCATAAACATTTTACTTGAGGTAATTTAACAGTGAAAAGGGTAGGCCTACACAGTCAGCTGGATCTTACACGTCACCATCTTACATGATACTAAAACCTGTGGGCTAGCACAATTACACACTAAAAACAAATTGTTCTATATTGTGCCAAATAAGGGTTATTTGGCTTGTAACCATAGCAGAACCCTTTTTGGTGCTATATGGTACCTTTTTTGAAGGTTCTGTAAAGAACCATGCTCATAAGGTTCTAAATGGAACCTGTATGGTGCTACAAATAATCATTTTCCTTTAAAAATAAAGGTTATACATAGCACCAAAAATCAGTTCCCCTATGGTTACAACCCTTTTGGGGGCTATATATATATCTTTTTTATGGTTCTTTATAGAACCTTTATGGAGAATGGTTCTATAAAGAACCCTTCTCTATCTCAAAGGTTCTTTGTAGAACTCACGGTTGTACAAAAAGAGCTGTGAACAAACCAAGCCTCAAATATTCTAATAAGCCACCCCTACATTTTTATAATCACTGAAAGAGGATAGAACCCTTTTTTGAATGGCAAAGAACAATTGAGTCAGTATGGTTCCACGTAGAACCATCACCCTTCCCAAAGAACCCTTGTGGAACTCTACTTTTTTAGTGTGCACAAAACATCCTGGTGCGTTTAGAGTTATC